ATTTTTGAACATGGGTATAGTTTTCTTTAGGAATAGTAGTAAACCTGTGTCAAAAGGAGCCTATCAGCTGATAACAATTGTCAGTGCCTCCTTTTGAATGCGCTTTCACAAAAAGCATGTTAACTAGAGCACTTTGGCAGTTCTATCCCCAAACTACATTAAGGAAAATAATTGCTGGTTCACACTGGCTGGTGATATTTGTTGAAAGGGGGAAAAAAATAATGTAAAATGTCATTGACAAGATACAGGTTTCTAGATTTGTATTATGTTATAAACAGCAGTCAAAAGTACATGTTGTGATTTTCATTCAATTCTAGATTCTAAAAGTGGAATCTAGCATTACTATATGTCCAGGGCCCCATGCAGGCTGCAACTTTGGTTCTCAAAAGATACACAAAAAATTTACAACCTTCTAAAATAAGACAATAGAGATCTAGTTTATTATAGAGGTTAAGGCACGGGTTGGCCACCCACGGCTCTGGAGCCGCATGCGCTCTTTGAGCCATCTCCTGTGGCTCCAGAGCTTCCTCCTCCTCCTCCCTCCTGCTGCCCCCCCATGCCGCAGTCCTGGCTGGGGCGGTGGCAGGGGCATCGCTTCCTGGGCCATCCCCGGGCCACTGAGCCAGCCACGTGTCTGCCCGAGCCGGGTGGTAGTCCTGGCTGGGGTGGTGGCAGTGGGGTCATCGCTCCCTGGGCCGTCCCTGGGCTGCCGAGCCGGCTATGCATCTCCCCAGGCCGGTCCGGGCAGCAGTCCCAGCTGGGGTGGCGACAAGGGGGCATCGCTTCCTGGGCCATCCCCGGGCAGCCGAGCCGGCCACGCGTCTCACCGGGCCAGGCTGGGGACATCACTTCCTGGGCCGTCCCCATGCCGTTCCCCGGGCAGCCGACGGCCATGCATCTCCACAGGCCGGTCCGGGCGGCAGTCCCGGCCGGGGTGGCGGGGGCATCGCTTCCTGGGTGATCCCCAGGCCGTCGAGCAGGCCACGTGTCTCCCTGGGCCAGGTAGCAGTTCCAGCTGGGGCGGCAACAGCGGCAGGGGCATCACTCCCTGGCCGTTCCTGGGCAGCCAAGCTGGCTCTGCATCTCCCCAGACCTGACCAGGCGGCAGTCCCAGCTAGGGCGGGGGCGGCGGCAGGGGCATTGCTCTCTGGGCCGTTCCTGGGCTGCTGAGCCAGCTATGCGTCTCTCCAGGCCAGGCTGTGGCAGTCCTGGCTGGGGTGGCGGCAGAGGGGCATCACTTCCTGGGCCGTCCCCGGGCTATTCCCTGGGCAGCTGAGCTCACCACGCAACTCCCCGGGCCAGTCCGTGGTGTCCCGGGCACCTTTCAGCACCTTCTACTGCCTCCTGCCCCCCTCTCCAATGGGGGACAAGGCGAGTTAAGTCAAAAGATGCGGACCTTTCATACTAGCATCTTCTTATCTTATTATCTTGTTATCCCTGCCACAGACTCGGCTCATCCGCCCCCACTCTCTCCTCTCTCTGCGGACGATTCTGGTCGCTTCAAATGATTGGCTACTGAGGCCCAGGCTAGCCAGGCAGGCAGGCAAGTCTCGACCGCAGCATTTTGTTGCTGTTGTTTTGCGTACGTGCATGGCGCTGGCTGAGAACAAAACCAAGCAAGCTCTGTGGTTGGAAGTCCCTGCAGCTTGGGAGCCAGGATCTTCCCCCTCTCAGTCCCAAATCCCAAGCAGGATTCACCACATTGGGATTGGAAGCGAGCAGCGAGGAGATGGTCTGTCTCTCTTCCTCCCCTCCTCCCTTCCTCACCAGCTACTGATGCTCCCTGCTGGGCGCAGTCGGCCTGAAGCGGAGGAGGGTCGGGGGCCTTTCAAAGCGTGACATTGCAATGGATAGGAGAGCCTTTCAGGAGGGTGCGGATGAACTGAAGCTCTCCAGATATTGCTAACATACAGCGTTTGCAGTCCTTGCAGCAGGGTCGATGCTGAGTGAGAGGTGCTGGCATTTCTCTTTGTCAGAATGTGGTGAATCCACATTGCCCATCTCTAAGGGAGGAAGTTAAACTATTTGGTAGGTGAACTGGTTCTGTTAGTAAAGGGGGGGAGGTGAAGAGAAAAAGAGAGGAAGAGAGAGAAGAAAGAGAGCGGAAAGAAAGAAAGAGGAAAGAGGAAGAAAGAGAAAAGAGAAAGGGAGAGGAAAGAGAGAGAGGGGAGAGAGGAAAGAGAAAGAGAGGAAAGAAAGGAAAGAGGAAAGAGAGAGAAAGGGAGAGAGGAAAGAGAGAAAGAGGGAGAAAGGAAAGAAAGGGAGAAGGAGAGGAAAGGAGGAGAGAGAGAGGAAAGAGAAAGGAAAGAGGGAGAGAGGAAAGAGAAAGAGGGAAAAGAAAGAGAGGAAAGAGAAAAAGAGAGGGAGGAAGGGAGAGGAAAGAGAAAGAGAGAGAGGGAGAGGAAAGAAAGGGGGAGAGGAAAGAGAAAGGGGGAAGTGCAAGTACCTCTCTCTCTCTCTCTCTCTCTCTCTCTCTCTCTCTCTCACACACACACACACACACACACACACACACACTGGGGGAAGAGGACTGGCAGACCAAGGGAAGAAAGAGGGAGAGGGAGGGAGGGACAGAAAGAGAGAGAGAGACTCTTTTGACATCTAAAATGAAGATAACATTGCATATATCCTTGTACGTACGTACGTACGTATGTATGTATGTATGTATGTATGTATGTATGTATATAAAAATAAAAGTAAAAGAGGATATATGCAGTGTTATCTTCATTTTAGATATCCAAAGGGTTTTGCAGCTCCCTGTGTTTTGTTTTCAGTGGGAAATGGATCCAAGTGGCTCTTTGAGTGCTTTGGGTTGCCTACCCCTGGGTTAAGGTATCAGTCTAGAAACTGAGAGACTGTGATTTCTGACTTAGAAAAAGCCAGCTGGGTGACTTTGGAACTGTCAATCTTTCTTAGCCCTAGGAAAGAGGCAACAGCAATCCACTTCCAAAAATCCTTGCCAAGAAAACTGCAGGGATTAATCCAGGCAATTACCAGGAATCGATATTGTCTTGAAGGGGCCAAAAGAAAAATAGAGTTTGCAAGACTTTTAAAAGGCTGTGTTTCTTAAATAGCATAACAACACAGGCTATCTTACACTAAGCAAGACTATCAGGCTATTCACCTCATATATGTTAATTCATATTTATAAGTAGAAAGTTTACAGTATCTTACACAGGAATTTTTCCCAGACGTACTCAGAGACAATAGCCATACACACACATTTCCTGAAATCCTTAGTTTATACCATATTAAAATATGTAAAGCTTATTGGATGTAGCTTGAAATGCAATATAGGATTTTATTTATACAATGAACAACAAATGAACAAAGAATTTGAGCATAACTAAAATAATCTGCTGAAGCCAATTTAAAAGGTTTTGATAACACTTTCTAATTAGCTATTGTATTTAATAAAAAAGATACTGCTGTTTCATTTTATTTTTTATTTTAACATAGTGTCAAAATTAATTCTGCTATATAATAAAAATTCTGACGTAGGCCTACAGACAACACAACACAGGAGTAAATAAGTGCTTCAAGCATGAAATGGGAAAGAACAGAAAAAACAAATAAATGAAGCAGATTTGTCTTTCCAGTGCAACTTGTGCAAGCCTATTATATATCATTAAACAAAACCAAAGCCACCATTTAGGCTTTAGGCCATATATTTTATATTTAGAGTACACACTGAGTACAAAAATGATGGTTACACTGAATTATTCTGACTATGACATTTCTTTAGGATATACCGTATTATAAATTAAAAGCTACAATGCAGACTTCCTTCCACATTTTTTACTAGCCTGAGTGGGAAAGAACAGGAAGGGCTCAATTCACATCAGGTGACATGACTACAATACAACATGAAGCACACTTAATTTGGAAAAAAGAATCCAAACAAATATTTTGTGGGATTTATTTCTGGATGTGTACACATACAACTGATTTGTAAACTATAAAGTGATAAAACAAATTCTGGACAAACAAACAATTTACTTATTTTAAACCAATCAAAATTTAACGTAGCTGGATTGGGCCTAAAATCTAATCCACATAAAACTGCAGCATCTGAATAGAAGAGAAACTGTCCAAAAATTAGTAATTGCTGTAAATTGTTGTAATTGCTATACTGTATCTTTAAAAATGCTGTTTCTGGCATGGTGCCATGCAACTGGCTAGCATGCATCCAGTAATGTCCATAACATATTTTTAACAAATAGAAGATAAAAAAATCAGCTTGCATTAAGATTTTTGATGAGGCATGCAGCAATCACACATTGCAGTTAATACTTCATGCAAACTTTAACTTTACATTCCTTCATGTTCTAAGAATTCACATGGTAAGAAACAAAAGGTGTGTTATTCATCCCTACTTGAGAAAAAAAATCTTAGGTTTTTTTTTTCTATCTAATTAATAAGACAGGCTCTACGTTTCAAGCCCATTCACACTTTATCAGGGAAGTTACTTAACTGTATAGCCTATCATACACAACCATATTCATACCAAATAGTTTGGGTATCTTCATCAGCTGGTAATGGGGATTCACTATCATTAGGGTCTGAATGCACAAGGATTTTAAGTTTGTTGCTATTCTGTGTGATATCTACCTTTTGATTTTCATTTTCAGATTTCTGATTTTCAAAAGGTTGTTTGTGATCTTTCTGTGGCAATTTCACCAATGAATGAAATGATTTAGCTGTTTTGGTTTTGGATGTTTGAGGTATTCCACTAACATCACAGACTAATTCAGTATTAAGTGTCAGAAATGGCATAGAAAAATGGCCTGAAGATGATATACCCACTTTATCATTATTTACATTACTAAGAGAAAATGTTTTAGTAATAAATTTGGTCTTTGTTCTGGAATTGCTAAGCCTTTCAGGTATATTCAAATTATCAGGTATAGTAATATTAGCTAAGTCATTTTTGGAAAAACTAACTGCATTATCAGGAGCATAATAAAAAATAGAAGATTGTTGTTGAGGATTGTACTCACTCGAAGATGATATAATATTTTGTTCAGCTGTAGCTGGAGTAGGATCAACAAATATTGGCTGCCTAGTGTCCTTAGATAAAAAATCATGGATACTGGTCCTCCGAGTAGTTCCTTCTGCTGTTGAAATCACACTACTTGCACGAGGTAAAGTAGCATAGGGATTGCAGTCTTTGGATTGTCGCTGTGACTGGACATTTTCTTTAGCAGATCTGATCTTTCCTTTAGTGCCTGCAGCATATGTCTCTAAAAAGTTCCAATCTTTAGAATCTTCTGTTCTGTTTAAATTGAGCCTTGCAAGAGGCTCTTGCTTGCCTAACTTTCCATCAGATAATTCTGTTGTATTCCTTACACTCTGCGATCTGACAATACTACTACTGCCTGATGTGTGTTTGCTTAGTTTTTCTCTTCCTGTTAATTCAGCATTCTCCGAAAAAAATTTCATTACTTCATCCAAAAGATTATCTTTGCTTGAAGACTTTAGCTGCAAAAATTGATAGAAAGAGAATGAATATAAAAAACACACACAGTTTTCCTATCAAATTTATACCGATCTTGCCTACCTGGCCCCTATTTCTCTCCTTTTGGAGACTGCATTTCGTCTAACAATGCATTGCTTAGGTCCCAATAGCTACCTGTACCTGCAAACCTAATTCCAGAAGAACTATGGCGTATTATGAAAAATGTTTTCTCTGATGCTGAATTACAAAGTATTGTTGCTTGTAAATGAGCTGAGAAAATTATTGAACTTTTATTTTAAGAAACCTGAAAAACATAGCATAAAACATTAATTCTAAATTGCCAATTTATTTAATCTCCAAAATGAAAATATCACAATTTACAGAGATATACACTAACAGCTGCAAGAACAAATTTGGGATAACAATGAAAAAAAAAGATCCTAGCAAATTGTGTCAAACTAGGAGATAAAATTGGAGAATATGAAGCAATGGCAAAATTAATGTTATATATTCATAATAGACATCAAACTAAATTTAAGCAATTGAAAGATACACCTTTATATTGTACTTTTTTGCAGGATCAAACCACAAGCTTAAAAATAAAGAATTGATTATTTAATTATAGCAGCCAAAATAATAATTGTTCAACACTGGTAAACTTTAGAGAATATAAAAACTGAGTTGTGGATAAGCAAAGTCTCTTCAATTGCCATATGGGGGGGGGGGAAACACAGATAAAGTAATGAAATTTCAGAAGCAGGAATCACAATTTTATCAAACTTGGTTGAATTTTATGATTTACCTTAATAACAATAGATTATAATCTGGTGTATTACTTATATATGATAAATGTTCAAATGTATAGTACCGTAAATGCCGGCGTACAAGGCGACCCGGCGTATAAGACAACCCCCGTCTTTATAGCCGGGCCGCATTCCTAGATCGTCGTCTTATACGCCGGAAACTACCAGTATTTCTGGCGTATAAGACGACTCGGCATATAAGACGACCCCCATCTTTGGCGCCGATTTCAGCGCTCGCGGAAGTCGCCTTATACGCCGGCATTTATGGTACTTGATTTTTTTTTATTTACATACTAATATATTTTTTGTATTTTCTCTATTTTTTTTAAATATATCTTGGAATTACATTAAGACAGCTAGCTCATATTGTAAAAGGAAAAATAAGCAAGAGACTACTTTTCCTTAATAAAGAGAGAGAAAAAATGAACTAATGAATAATATTGTAGGGTTGGAAAACACTAGACTGGTGATGAATCATTGAGTAAAAAGCTATGCAGGACTGGTGTTTGATGCAAGATATCCCTTGAAGGGGCATTAAGCTACTTTAAGACTATATGCCAGCTGATCATATTTGATGAGGTTGGTGCCATAAGGGCCAAAGAAACTGAACACTAGTGAGAAGTTATAGAAAAAAATGAAAACTAGAGAGAAGCTACAGAAATGATAGTAACTGGGAAATTTCCCAAAGACGACCAGTTTCAATCTCATAATTTTGTAATGGAAATGGTTGGAGAGTGCTAATCTGGCCCGTCTCCTTGAGCAGCGAGGTAGCTTGGAGAATAAGATTTCAGAGAAGATTTATCAAGAATATTTGTCTCCAGAACTGAGTCCTGAATGAATCAGAAAGAAGGTGAATGGACAAAGGGGAAGCTGCTGAAGAAGAAGCGAAAGGATTTTCAGACAAATACTAGGACCTGGGAGGAGTTTAGGAGGACGTTTAAAGATTTATGGTATCTTCTATTTTAACAACTCATTTCTAAAAAGCAGAATGAGATTCAATGAATGATTATGGCAAACCTATTTTGTTTAGGCTATAATGTAACAAAGTTGCTGAAAACATTATTTAGGGCTTGAGAATAACCATTCTGTTGTAAAAAAATCTGAGATTAATTTTCTGTAGGCTTATTCAAGTCTACCATGCATAATGGCATTATCTTCTTTTTATAGATATGACCATTAATAGAATGTACTTTTTTGAACTAAGCATTTCAGCTATTACTTTCCTACTTGGTTATCTTCTTCAAATTTTTAATAAATAAGGAATGCTGGTTCTGAGATTTAAAATTAGTCGTTTTTCTTTACCTGGATTTCAAATCAATTGTCATGATCTATGTCAGTGTTTCTCAACCTTGACAATTTTAAGGCATGTGGACTTCAACTCCCAGAATTCCACAGCCAGCATTGCTGGCTGTGGAATTCTGGGAGTTGAAGTCCACATGCCTTAAAATTGTCAAGGTTGAGAAACACTGATCTACTTGAACCCATATTATGTTTACTCAGGCTTAAGTTATGTCTCTTAAAATTAAGTAATTTTTAACATACCTCTGCTGAAGTAACTTTATTACTTTCTTCCAGAAATTGCTGCAGAGTAACCATTTCACTTCCAGGGGATTCAGTTTTAATTCTCCACATTCCTTGTTTATCTATTTTTTCTGACATTGTATGATGAAGCAGGAGACTAGATTTAGTGTGACTTTTCAAATACTGTATGGGGCTGCTGCTATTACTGGACCATGCTTCATGCTCATGAAGAAGGCTAAATTCTCCACTACTGTGGCTTTGAGGCCTGCTTTGGTTGTTAGTTGCACCTGCTTTAGAATAAACAGCATTGATATTTTTCTTAGGTAAAATAAATTACAAACTTTTAACAAGTACATTTGGAATGAAATACAATATATTGCTAGATGTTTTTAAAGCACTGAAACATCAACTGCTGTACAGTAATATGCTTAAACACCTATTAAAATTTGTATAATAAAATGTATTTCCGTAATTTTTCCCTTTATGGCTCTTCATTATGACATCTAATGTTCATTTAAAAAGTTTTGTCTTCAACTTTCTTTTAAAACATCACTTTCCAATTTTCTATACTTACTTATACATTCCCACCATACACATCCAACACACAAACCTTTTCAATAACCCAAATAATAGAATCATAGTGATCTGCTATCTTTTATGTTATAAAAGTAATGAAATTGAAACATGAAAATAATATTTTCAAGTTAATAAATATTTTGCTGAAAAGATTTATTTAAAAATACATTGCTCTTTATATAAAGTCCCAATTCCTGTGAATATAATTTAAAGAAGAGACATCACACTGTGCACAAAATAACTGAAGAAATGCCAATTTCTCATTTTGGCATTTCTTCAGTCCAGAGCAGTTACCTGGAAATTATTCTTTGCAATATTTTGAATAACAATTTAAAAAACTTCTAAGCAGTATATACTTTTAGAATACAAGCAATGTATACTTAACTGACATAGTATTTCTGGAGGGAATAATTTATATTGGAAAAAACACAAATGCTCAAAAAGATACAAAATCCAGTAAAATTAATGAAATGAATTCATTGAGACAGTGATGGTTGTGTATGATCTGCTTTAAACACAGATATTTTTTACAACAAAACAACAAGCTAAGTAGCCAGTCTAGTGTGCTTCTGGAGCTTTGGATAGGAGACTTTTCTTTCCTTTGCCTTTTTGTTACCTTTATTTGTATAGATCTCACTCTTGATATATCTAAACATTCTTTATACTCTCCTTTTTTTAAAAAAAAATTATCTTTATGAGAAGAAAATTTTCTTTCTTAATCTCCTCTATTCACTTATATCTGCATTTTTCCTTTACTTTACTCCTATCAGTTCTCATTTCTTCCTTTTTTTGTTTCTCATGTTATGTCTCTTATTTGCATAAATTCCACTATAGAAATATCTAAATGTTTTTATACTCTCCTTTTCTGAACCCAAAGATACTTTTCCAAAAGGCAACTGGACTTTCTTGGTTTTTCCCTTGAAAACATTTCGCTTCCCATTCAAGAAGCTTCTTCAGTTCTGACAATCAGAACTGAAAAAGCTTCTTAGATGAGAAGTGAAACATTTTCAAAGAAAAAAAACCAAGAAAGTTCAGTTGCCTTTTGGAATACCACCTTTGGGACAACCATGACCTGGATGATTGAGAATCTCCATAGGCAGTTTAAAGAAGTTTACTTTAGTTTAATGAAGGGAAGGACTAGGGGTGACATGATAGCAGTGTTCCAATATCTCAGGGAGTCAAGCTATTCTCCAAAGCACCTGAACGCAGGACAAGAATCAACGGATGGAAACTAACCAAAGAGATAAGCAACCTAGAACTAAGGAGAAATTTCCTGACAGTTAGAACAATTAATCAATGGAACAACCTGCCTCCAGAAGCTGTGAATGCTCCAACGCTGGAAGTTTTTAAGAAGATACTGACAGCCATTTATCTGAAATGGTATAGGGTTTCTTGCCTGAGCAGGGGGTTGGACTAGATGACCTCAAAGGTCCCTTCCAACTTTATTATTATTATTTATATTTATTTATACATTCCTTTTCTGAACCTTTATTCGCCTAATGAGATATCTTTCTTTTCCTTCTCAGTCATCTCTATCCACTTAAGTCTGCATTTTCCTTTGCTTCATACCTATGAATTCTTTTCTTCGTTTGCCCACTATTAATAGCAATACACCTAGATGTTCAATATTTTTAGCACTATTATTAATTATATTATATTGCTAATGATAATTGGGACATCAAATGCCATCAGCGTATCTGTAATTTTTGGACTGCACATTTTATTTTCTACCCCTGACATTTAGTTGGGGGGGGGATCAGAGAATCTGAAAAACTTTCCCCCTTAGTGACATGTTCAGTATATTATGATGTACTTGAACTGTACTTATATAAAGGGGAGTAGAGCAGTGAATAGAAACTATAGAAATGCAAGTATCTATTATATTTGTGTACCATACACTCCCAGCAAAGTCATCTATTTTAAAGCTTTATTGTAAAAATAGCAAAATGGTTAAAATTATCACAGTAAAAATTTCCTCATGCTATGAATATCACCCATTCTTCTTTGTAATATAAAAAATGAAGCACAGTTCATTTTGTCTAGAAGCATACCTTTGACATCATGCAGTGATGCATTATTATTGCTATTGCTAGTTGATGTTCTGCCACTATCAAGGCTGGCCGGTCTGGAAGCTAAATGAAAAAGAATCAATAGTATAAAGCACCTATCAAACCAGATTATACTGTACATGAGATATTTCATTCACAGAAATGAATGAATGATCTCACAAGTAATTTGGCCTTATCACTAAAGGGCTATGTAAGAACCAGTAGTCTGAATTGCATTCAAGAATACTCATTTGGACTCCTCCATCCCCCGATACCAAGTCATACCTTCAACACAATCTTTTCGAGGGCCTAGGGTTGAGATATATAATTGGGTATCATCAACATATTGACAATATCTAATCCTGTTGCAATAGATGACCTCACTTAGTGGTTTCACATAGAAGATAAACAGCAGTGGGGAGAGAAATGCTGGAGTTGTACAGACAAGACATGAGAATCTATAATTAACAATCCAGAGGACCAAATGCCTAAGGAATCCCAGGCAAAAGCTGATCTATTGAGAGAAGAAGACTAGAGAGACAAGAAGTCTTCTTTTCTGCTTTATATGAAGGGCCCATTAAGAGTGACTGGGGCCAGGGAAAGAAGGAGTTAGAAAGCATCTATGTGGAATCCACAATGGACCATGACATGATAAAAAAGAACCTCAAGAGAGATTTCTGCATTTACCCAGAAGAGAGGTCCCACAGAGGCCATTAGGAGGAGGGTGAAGAAAGGGTGTAAAATCAATGGGTGTGAAATAAACAAAACTTCTTTTACAGATGATGATTCTGGGAGACACAAGCCAATGTTAGCACTATGAGAAAGTATTGTTAATTTCAACACTGAAATAATCACTTTAGCATTCACAATATTCATTAGAGATTGTACTTCAGGAATTCATATAAAAAGCAAAGTTTCTTTATCAAAAATATAAGCATTTATATCCATTGTCTGGGAATACAACACCATCTTGCATAATAATCTCCCTGCAAAGGCCTTCCCCGATTTTTATCAAATTGGTGGCAGATATATGTTGGTATTAAAATCTCCGGAATTGCACAAACACTGAAAAAGTGCACTAATTTATGATTTATTGTAGAAATATGAATTTGGTGTTAATACTCTTTAAACAATATCCCTAAAACAGAAAAGATGTTTATAGGCAACTTTTAAAAAATGCTCGACAGCAGCAGTCCCCAACCTTTGGGGTTTTCCGAACTGGTGGGCAGGGGGAAAGGGGGTGGTTCTGCATGAGTGGTGGGCAAGCATGTACACACAGCTTCATTTGCAAGCGGTGGGCACACAAATCCATCACTCACACAAATGGAGCTGTGCACGGATGCCGCTTCCAGGGCCAGTTCCAAACAGGCTGTGGCCCAGTACTGGGCCGCAGCCTGGGGGTTGGAGACTCCTGCTCTACAGCAGCAAAAAAAGATATGAAACAAGAAAAATAGAATTGTGTGTTTAGAATTTAAAACATGGTTAAAAATAGCATGTAAACATGTAGAAAATTAATTTTGTTTAAAGCAGTGGTTCTCAACCTTTCTAATGCCGTGACCCCATAATACAGTTCCCCATGTTGTGGTGACCCCCAGGGGTGTGGCCAAGTGGGTGTGGCCACCAATAAGGAGGAGTAGGACAGCTAGGGAAAAGGGAAAAAAATGGCGGACAGTGTGGTTTGGCGACCCCCGTGAAATGGTCGTTCGACCCCAAATGGGGTCCCGACCCACAGGTTGAGAACCACTGGTTTAAAGCATTTACAATAGATTTTGCATGGGTATCACCTATGCAGAAATGCCATCTCAATAGAACAAAAACACTCCTAATTTAACATCATGTACTCTTAAACAATATAGATATAGTATTAATATAGTTCAGAGTAATGCATTTGATTTAAATCAATTTTGAATAATCAATTAAATTCTATTTAGCTGTAGCTTCTATTTCAGCACTCTCTGATTATATTTGATAAAGACAATACATTAATATATGTGAACATATGTTAAGAAACAGTTTGTCTAATTGATTTTCAACACTAAAGTCTGACATTTAGAATTGAAGGAGAACTGAAGAAATGAACCTTGCACTCAACTGTTTGTTTTACTTAAACAACTGCATTAAGGAAATGGGGAAGAATTTTATTACATTAAATGAAAAAAAAAGATAAGATGAGATGAGTTGAGATGAGATGCAAAGTTGAAAGAGAAAAAAACAGTCAAAAACTGACAAACGCTCACTTGCAAAACTGTTTTTAGTTAAACTTCATCAATATTCCCATAATGAGAATTCATTTAAAGTATAAATCTTACCTTGAATTCTTGAACCTGTACTAGAATCGTCACTAATTCCTTGTGGACTGACATCTTCAAAAGATGTTGCATCTAGGTGGAAAACAAACATCAAAACCATATTAGTTTATCATCTAGAAAATGCTATGAAATAGATTTTTCTCCAATAAATTCATGTTCTCACAAATAGTAAGTCAGAAATATAGACCTTTTCCCCACTACATAAATTTGTATTAAATATTTGCTGAAAAGTCATGAAATATTAAGCATGAATAGATTTCAATACCACTAGGATTGCTAATACAGCCACATCACACTGAAAAGATTCTACCTATACCTTTATTATTAAGCAACTGCTTGGATCTCAAGCCTGCAGCAGAGTTGACAGTTGCAAAGTTGATGGATGTAGTAGAGAAGGCCATAGATCCCAATTCTTTTCTCCTTTTACCCGTGGATATATCATCAGGACCTTCCAGATGCTCAGAACTACCTATCCATTGTCCTCCTGCTAAGACCATGGACTGCATCAGGTCATTCATTGCTGGGATGCAAATGAAAGCAAATGAATCAGCATGATTCAATGATTTTTTTTTGCATTGTAAAATGCTTCACATTTATCTCTAATCATCATACTGAAAGCTACATTCCATGTTCCTATATGTTACAACATGCATTTGGCTGAATGAATGAAAAATGTTAAAAAGCAAGGCTTTCTTGTAGAGATGATTGTAAATGTTTTTAACTGCCATGCTTGTGCTGGAATGCTACATAAATATACATTAGAAGCTCTGATGTTTGTAATGGTAAATGGAATGAACAGGGTAAGATGAGCACAAGTGCTTATATAAAGTCAGTGCTGGCAATGATAAAGGGCCCTTTACTGTGCAGGCTTCTACAGGGATAGATAATTGTGCATAACACTAGAGATAAGGTTCTAAATTAAATGTGCTCTATAACAGCTATCTACATATTGCATCCTTAACTTAAAAGTAAAATAATACACTGGCAAAAACTTGCCTCCCCATTCCCCATGTTCAGAGACTAGTAAAATATAAGCAGGCTATTATTTATGTTTGGACAGATTTTACTTTTAAAAAAGAAAGAAAATAGTACATGTCTTTATAAGACTTATAACTAAATTTAAATTTAAAAATGTGTGCAAATATGTGCCTGGTACCTAGTTATCCATATGTATTTATGCACATATGCTCAAATTTATATAGAGGTGTTCCTCGCTTAACAACCACTCATTCAAAGACTTTCAAAGTTACAATTGTGCTGATACTTATGACCGGTCCTCAAAATTCCAGCCATCAACTACCCTACAAATTGCATGATCTGGGCATCTGGCAACTGCGGTTATGTGATCATCATTTGCTATCCCTCACTGGCAGCTTCTAACAAGCAAAGTTAATGGGAAAGCTGGCAGGAGGTTGCAAGTGGCCAGCATGTGACATTGTGCTTAACCTGGACACTGGACTTGCTTAACAAAGGTAACTAGAACTGGAGGAACTGCATCACTAAGTGGTATGTTCATGTAACATTATGTTTTATGACCACATTACTTAATGATGGAAATTCCAGTCCCAATTATCATAGCTACCTGAGGATTACCTGTAACCTCCATAACTTGAGCATATAAATGTATCTTCATCTTGTGTTATTTATAGAGCCCAATAGTTATATATATTCAGTGTCAGTGTTTAGAAACATTGCTTCAGCTCCTTGTATACAGCAGGACTTGCACTCTGCAGAATAGGAAAAATAGTGCAGTCCAGGGAAGGGTTAGGAAAGTTAGTAACAGATGCCAGTATAGCCATTTAAAAAGAAGCTGAACTTTCATAAAGTCTTACACATAGAGCGACGGTAGAAGGCCTTCATTTTGTCTTTTTCCTTCGGTCTGTTCCTCAAAAAGGGCAGTCTTTTCAGTGCAACCACTTTTATATCATAGCATAAGGAAAAACAGAAACGGTAAATGAAAGAAAAAGGGGAGAAGAACAGATGGAAGTTAAATGCTGAAACTAAGGACAGAAATGAATGTTTGAGTTTCCACTAGGTGCAATTTACTAACAGCTATTAATTTCATGTTGCTGAAGGACAATGAAATATGAAACCTCCATAGTGAAGCTTCTAAAACATCCAGAAACCCTGGAAATCCTATGGGAGGAACAAAAAGAATTTCCATTGTTCAGGATTAATAAATGTCTCAAAAATCAATCTAACAAAACCCAAACAAAGCACTGACTTTGAGACGGAAAGAAAGTTAGAAATCACCAAGTAAGTTTTTGGAGATTGAAAAATGTCTTTAAAATGCTAATTTGGTTTATTCAAGATCATTGAGCTTTGCCCTTACTTGCTACCAAATTGTGGCTGTAGTTTTTTTAAAATTATTTGTTCATTTGAGCCTGTTTTATTTCACTAAACTGTTGTGTATATCAGTTGCAAGGTTCACTTTTTTAACATAATGCCAAGATTCACAAATTGCACTAAGCCATAATCTTCTCTGTTTTTGCCTTAATTAATGCATGAAGCAGGGTCAGAGAATAAAAGATATTTTGTTCTTGGATAATAAACCATTTGAAACTATTTGCTGTTGGTTTACTGATTGGGTTCATACTTTATGTTAAGTGTAACATGATTTCATTATAGCTTAGTGTGATATATGAATCAAGCTATTGTAGTTTATTTACTTATTTATCAATTTGCTTACATTATTAAATAAATATGCTGCTGATTCCCAGTGATTCTGGGTGACTCACAAGCAAAAAAAAAAAAAAAAGCACATGGGTATTAGCCTAATGTGGTTTCTTCCATAAATCATGGTTAACAAACTTCAACATAGCATATTGTATAAGCTCAACAACTGCATCCGATAATAATGAACAAATGTGAATATATACCATATAGTTTCCTGTCTTAGCCCCAACTTCCTTTGTGTCCTATCAAGTATCCATTCCACATGGACATAAGACAAGGACCAATAAAAATAGGAGGGGGAAAAAATTCAGGAATTGGCCAAATAAGAGCCAAAATAACTATGTTCATCTGCAGAACAGACTTTAATATATCTAACTTTTTATATTAGTCACAGTTAAAACAAGCCATGGCTAAGCATGACCAACCATATTCTATCTAATTAAGAAAGGAAGTGCAAAAAAATGTAAACAATCCATTAGAGTGTCATCTTAAACAATAACACTTGAGTATTGGGGCAGGAGATGGTATCATTCAGAAAATTGATACCATAACAAAAGAAAAAAGAAAAATATGACATTGAAGTGAAGTTAAAATCAAGAAAGAGTACATACAAAAACAATTTTAAATTCAGTGTTACAAAAGGATTTTACATGGACCTCTTATTCCAGACTTGAAATCCTATGCAAGAGGACCTGGTAACTAGAAAAAAAATTTTTCAGTGTGGATTTATTGCAGTCCAAACACAAAGCATATATGTACATTATTAATCTCAGAAAAATAATGAGAAAAATCAAAATGAAGTATGTTCAATAACATTAACTTCCAAGAAGTTATATATGATACCACAATCTTAGAAAATTTAATCTTTACTTATGACCTATTTTCATATGCACTGCATTTTTCACTGGAAGATTTTGCTGGAGTAAAAAGTAGAAAAAATTCCCAGAAGTACAAATCTTTCCCATCTACTGATTCCAACTCTGCCTCTCTCATCTAAATGAAACCAGGACTGCGTACTTTCAGTTATTATTTCAATCTATAACTCCATCCTAACAAAAAAAGCTTCTTTCAACATGTAAAAAACAAGAAAAAAGTGAAGGAAACGATTGGTCCATTAGTGGGTGAAAGTGGCAAGAAGGTGACAAGCAACAGGGAGAAAGCAGAACTATTTAACTCATTTTTCGCATCTGTCTTTACACAAAGGGAAAAAGCAGCCCAACCTATCAAAAATAGTGCCATAAAAAACAGAATAGAAACATAAGTTAATATAGGCAAGAGAGCACCTGCCCAACCTAGACGAGTTCAAATCACCAGGACCAGATGGATTACATCCCAAGGTTCTCAAGGAACTGGCAGATGTGATCTCAGAACCACCGAACTATATTTTTCAAAGATCCTGGAGCACTGGGGACTACCAGAGGACTGGAAAAGAGCTGATGTAGTTCCCATCTTCAAAAAAGGAAAAAAATTGGACCCAGGAAATTACAGACCTATCAGCCTGACCTCAATACCTAGGAAGATTCTAGAAAAGATAATCAAACAACGAATCAGGGAACACCTACAGGCAAATAAAGTCATTAGTAAAAGCCAACACGGGTTTGTCAAAAACAGATCATGCCAGATAAACCTTACTGTATTCTTTGACCAAGTGACAAAATTAGTGGACCAGAGGAATGCTGTGGATATAATGTACTTGGACTTCAGTAAGGCATTTGACAAAGTAGATCACAACCAAGTATTTGATAAGATAGAAAAATGTGGGTTAGACAGCATCACCACCAGATGGACCTGTAGCTGGCTGACCGACCGTACTCAGCGTGTGGTCCTCAATGGAACCGCATCTACATGGAGAGAAGTGTGTAGTGGGGTGCCCCAGGGCTCTGTTCTGGGCCCAGTGCTCTTCAACATCTTCATCAACTATTTGGACGAGGGGATAGATGGGGACCTCATCAAATTTGCAGACGACACCAAGCTGGCAGGAATAGCCAAGACTCCAGAAGACAGGCTTAAGATACAGGAGGATCTGGACAGACATGAACACTGGGCACTATCCAACAAAATGAAATTCAATGGTGAAAAAAGTAAGGTTCTACATTTAGGCAAGAAAAATCAAATGTACAAGTATAGTATAGGGAGTATCTTGCTCAATGGTAGTAACTGTGAGAGGGATCTCGGAGTCCTAGTGGACAATCATTTAAATATGAGCCAGCAGTATGCTGCAGCTGCCAAAAAAGGCCAACACAGTACTAGGCTGCATTAACAGAGGGATAGAATCAAGATCACGTGAAGTATTAATACCACTTTACAATGCCTTGGAATATTACATCCAGTTTTGGTCACCGCGATGTAAAAAAGATGTTGAGACTCTAGAAAGAGTACAGAGAAGAGCAACAAAGATGATTAGGGGACTGGAGGCTAAAACATATAAGGAACAGTTGCTGGAATTGGGTATGTCTAGTTTAATGAAGGACGAGGGGGGACATGACAGCAGTGTTCTAATATCTCAGGGGCTGCCACAAAGAAGAGGGAGTCAAGCTATTTTCCAAAGCGCCTGAAGGCAGGACAAGAAGCAATGGGTGGAAACTAACCAAAGAGAGAAGCAACCTAGAACTAAGGAGAAACTTCCTGACAGTTAGAACAATTAACTAGTGGAACAACCTGCCTCCAGAAGCGGTAAATGCTCCAACACTGGAAGTTTTTAAGAAGAAACTGGACAGCCATTTGTCCAAAATGGTATAGGGTTACCTGCCTGAGCAGGGGGTTGGACTTGATGACCTCCAAGGTCCATTCCAACTTTATTATTATTATTATTACTTCAATTCTGGATATATATTTCTAGGAGTACACATGAAAAATATATTGTATGTCAGTCTCTGTCAATGATTTAGCCAATTTGGTGAAGAAAGTGGTGTTGCTGTACTTTGAACTCTTATTATTTTGATCCTTTTTCAGTCTGGATTTATATTGGATTTGACAAGCAGACCATCTTGATTATTCTGGTGAATTCAGAAATAGATGGGGAAGAACTACTTTGCTGATAGTTCTGGATCTCTTGTCAGCTTTCAATAGCATTAAGTAAATATTTGAAGGAGAACTGAAATTGGATATACAATTTAGTAGTGGTTCCTTCCTGTTTTTCCAGATGCTATCAGAAAGTGATACTATGAGATTTTGCTTGACCTTTTTGGAATTATCCTTTATAATACCACAAAGTTCTATCTTCTCCCTATCTTATTTAATATGAAGCACTGAGAAGAAACATGTATAGTTTGGAGCTAGATCTCATAAATGTGCAGATAACAGACAGCCAACTTGTTTGGATTACAAGTTTGGATTGCAGTTCTCCAAGGTGTAAGAAACAGAATGGGAGAAAACAAAGTGGGATTCAGTACAGACAAGATGGAATTTGTATTGATTCTAAGAACTGGAAATCACAAGTCAGCTGCTATACAGCAGTAAAAACTGATAATCTGTAATGGTGAAGCTGACAAAGAGCCTATCTCATCCATTCTACAAATTATATCAATGGAGAGGTAAAAAGTGAAAACAATTCACTTAAATCTATATTATAGATATATTGTACTTCATAGAGAATACATTCAGTCAAGCAGTACATAAAAATGTAGGTCAGAATGTAACTGTAAATCACAAGCTATCTATTATAAACTTCAGTTTTGCTGAGATGCACAGAGTGAACAGAAGCTTCAGTGCTTGTTATCTGAAACACCTAAAATGATACCAAACTGTCATTAATATAAAACTATAAAACTTAACAACATTTTTGTTCATTTTAAAACAAAACATTATTTAAAATGTTTGTATAAAATATAAAAATTAAAAGGTAGGCACTACATTTACAACTTTTGGCAATAGGTAAAAATTTTAAGCTATTTGTCTTATGAAATATATATTGTATTTTTTTAATTTATGAGTGAAAAAAATGCTTTTATTAATTAAATCAACAAACTAATATCAAGAATTCAGCATTCCAACAATGGGTATACATTGTTTTGATATAGTTCAAATAGCTTGAGAACAGAATTCTGAACAGTGACCATGAAAGTGTAATGCTCATAGATTGGGTTGTGAAAATAAACAATAAGCATTCTGCAAATTTATACAGCCCACTAAGTTTACTATTTAAGGTCTTAACATTGCTAAGTCTGAATTTCCTTACTTTGGGGTTTGTGTTCTAAACAGATCCCATTTGCTACTAATACAGTATAACTTAAGATCAATCAAAATTGGCCAGTGTTGCTACTGAGCATATTGTTGTTTTGATGGCAGAGCACAATTAAAATATATAAGCAAAATGAATATTAATATGCCAATTGCTTGTTTCCCTAAGTTTACATAATAAGCACGGATGATGGCTATTCTTTAATTGAAGGCTAGAATGGTGTTGTGCTTAACATATTGGACTAGAAATCGGGAGAGACAAGTTGTAGTCCACCCATAGCCTGGAAACCTTTGGACCAGTTGTTTTTTTCAGTCCAACTACCTCACAGGGTAGTTGTATGGAAAAACAAGAGATGGAACCATTATGTACATTGCCATGAGCTCCTGAATGAAAGATGGCATATATGTGTAATAGGTATATAAATACATTCCTCGTCAATATGCAGCTGAGCTTTACATATAATATATGTGAACCAATACACCATCTCTTCCATGCAATGTTGGAGGCAGGGTTGCACTTTATTAACTTCATCACATGGCAGGTTGGTAATGGACATGCAGACAAATCGGATCAGCTCTATAACTAAATAAAAGATGTTCATAAGGAAGCATTTTACAGAAAAATCACATGATAAAAATGTTGTGAGTGAATGAAAAAAACAATATATAAAAAAAAAATTCGGGTAAAGGAAGTACAAATTTCACCAGCCAACTCTAACCCATTTGTTAATTTCATTTTCAATAGTGAAGCCCTGAAAGACATTTAGGAGTATACTCTGCTGTAGAGGTTGCTTCTCCACTATCATAATAAGTACTGCATTAGAATACTTTAAATGCAGTTTCCTCCCCCCAATAGATTTTGAACTGGAAACATTACAGCAAATACTACTCCCTATTTAAATTTTAAAAATTACTCACTGCTGCTTTTTTTAGTTCCCACTGTCTGGCCATCTTCAAGTGAATTTGAGCCCACAGAGGAACTATCTTGACTATCTTGATGTGGCAGCTGAAGAAATCCTTCACTAGATTCTGAGCGGGTTGGTGTTAGAGTCAGAGATTTGAGGCGTTCTCGGTTGACATCTTTCTTTGATTTTATCAATTTCCTCATTTTCAGAGTAATCCAGTTGCCTCTCCTTTTGAAAAACAAAAAGAATGTGAAAAGAGAAACCAGTCAACTAAAACTGAAATGCTATTCAGCTGATGAAATGCTGAAGATGGGACATGAGCATGCAGCAACAGCCCTTAAGTAACATACTATTATTTTGAAAGCCAATTAGCTCTGACTGACTTATTTAATGATACTGTATGTTCCTGAGCAGTGACTTCCTTTTTTTTTTTTAAGTTGGCAAGGAATTTAAGCCAAATGATGTTTCCAAATTCAGAAGAATTCTAACATTGACAACATTAACTCCTTCCAATTACTATTCTTGAAGAAAAAAATCAAAATATTCCACTTGAAGAAAGACTTTTGCTTTCATGGCGAGGGAACTACAGAAGCATTAAACCATGTTTGTTATATTGCCTTTATTACAAAGGTTGTTACAGGTAATAACTTCCCATATGAATACTTTTAACCATATGAATATTGTCCAATTAATGTGATTTTATTTCTGGTTCTGAATGAGGCATTTTATAATTTTACATTGTACTTGACATACATAGTACTTTAACCACATCATTTTTATAACACTTTATTTTTATTATGATTTTTAATTTGCTGTCTCAGTTTGTGGTCTTCTGTTCTGAATGGATAAATAACCAAAATAAATTGATTGACTGACTGATGAAAAAGAATGCTAAATTTAGAATTTGTTAACATTCAAAAATAAAATTGCTTTTCTCTGGTCGTGTGACTACAACTTAAACAATTCTCAACAGGAAGAAAACAATGTCCTTTAACTTAGCGGTCACATTACCTTCTAGGGGGAGATGGTTCATAGAATTTATACTGATCCATAATCTTTTCTTCTAATTTTTCTTTTTGTCTTCTCAATTCATTCAACTTGTCACTATAAAAAATACATTTCAGAAGGACATATTTCTACAAAATTGCTTTTCCTTTTAATTTTGTATCTAAATATCTTAATACCTTTTCATTACAGGTCTCACTTTATAATTAATTGTGAAATTATTTTTTAAACAGTACATGATTGATCCAGATTACTTCCATGAAGATTTTGCATTATAGAAATATATTTCTGCAAAAGGAAATTGTAATCAGGAGCTTTTATGCTTTTATATTAACTTTTATGTTTTTACTGTAAACTGCCCAAAATCACCTACTGAGATGGGCAGGATAGAAATGTTTTATTTCTATAAATATTAATGGATTAAATATATCAAGAAAAAGAGTTTAGATGTTTAACAATTTAAGGAAATTGGATGTAGATGTGATGTATCTTTAGGAAGTTTACATAAAATAGGATTATAGAAAATTACTAGAGAAAGTAAAATTTAGAAACATTATACACAATATTAGCATAAAACAAGAAAGGAAGAATTATTATATATGTCAAAGAAAAATAAAATTAAATATACTTGGATGAAAAGGGGTGAATTTTAATGTTGGAAATAGTATTAGAGTAAAAATAGTATATGCACTAAATAATATGAGAATATTTGTATGATCACCATGCTTAGATGGAATTCCGGTCGAGTCTTATAAAAAATATGAGTGTTACTACAATGAATAATGTTGGATTCCTAGTAAGTAGTAGAATATGAAAGAAGGAAAATGTAAATAAGAAACAATGAGGCAATAAGGACAAATATTTCAAAGAAGAAAGAGGGGGGAAATGTAAAGAATAGAAGAGTACTGTTACAAACTGCTGTTAACAAAAAAGGATATATTACATGTGTATGTATGTAATGTTTGTTGTGTTTTGTTTTGTTGGTCTAAAATAATAATAATAATAATAATAATAATAATAATAATAATACCCCCAGTGAGGCACTACCTTGACGTGGTTGTGGGGCTTGTGTACTCTGAGGAAGATGAGAGCTATGCCAGAGGTTCAACCATACTGGACAGGTCTCATCAGAGGAGTCAGACAAAGAGTGTCTCTCCCATAAAAAATATGGTGAGACGTAAATTTCAGAATGCCATACCGGCTCGGACGTCGCCCGGGTTAACAAGGTCCGCACTAGATATTGGAGTTCCTGGATATCTGGTGAAAAATGGGTTACAGGACTCAGGACTGTTGGCTGAGCAACCAGGGCCAGCAGCTGCAGAACTACTGGAAGAAAAGGTGTTTACCCGTCGCAGATACACAGTGATGGAAAACAAAGAAATAATGATCTGTTACTACAGATCAAGTCCAACAAGAAGAGGATATCTAAAACGAATGCACCAGTTCTGGAAAGAACAACATCCAGAATCAGAAATAACAGAACAGAGACTAGCAGATCAACGCCGATTTATAACACGAAATAAAGTATTCACAGAAACAGAATTGGACGAACTGCAAAGGTTTACCCAGGGCAAAGAAATCAAAGCCTTACCAGAAGTAATTCAGAATGTAGAGGCAAACCAGGGGGAGTTGGCAGTGAAGGAATCCAGCAGAGATATACAACTGTTCTCATTTGGAAACCAGGCACCTCTTCCTCAGGAAGAACAAAACCCTCTAACTAAAGAAATAAAAGAATTGAAACAAAGAATAACTGAGCATCTAGAACAGCACAAAAACAACAGAATAAGGCTGCCTGCATTGAAGCTTGTTCCAAAGAAACAGCTAGCACAAGCATTAAAAGATGCAAATACTGCAATAGCAAGTATAAGCACCAATTCACTGCAAGAAACAAACCAACTAATGTACAGCACAGCTGCAGTTATAACAGAATACCTGGGATGCAAAATCAACAAAAAGAAAAACAAACAAACAGTGCACCACAAAAATGGAAGGTTAGACTAGAAAATAAGATCAGCAAGTTAAGATCACATGCAAGCAAGCTAGAACAGATGAAAGAAAAGAAGCTGAAGAACAAGAAGACCAAAGAATACCTAATCAAGAAATACCACTTAGAAACAAGGAAGATCAAGGAAGCACTGGAAATAATAAAGCAACAAATAACAGCTATAGCCAGGAAAATCAGTAGATATGAAGCTCGAATTGCAAACTATAGGCAGAACCTCCAATTTCAATCCAATCAGAAACGTTTCTACCAATCCATCAATGGAGAAACTGCAAGGAATCAGTCAGTACCTGACAAGGAAGAAACAGTGCAATTCTGGAAGCAGATATGGGATAACCCAAAGAAATACAACAAGGATGCAGCTTGGTTAAAAGAGGTGGATGCAAATAAAACAGAAGTTGAAATGAAAGAACTAGTAATAACAACAAAAATGGTAGAAAAAAGAGCAAAGAAAATCAAAAATTGGTCAGCACCAGGTGAAGATGAACTGCATGGGTTTTGGTTGAAACATCTAACTGTTATACACCCACTCATTGCCAAGCAGTTCAACAATATACTACAAGGAGGAGAAATTGAAAAGTGGCTAACAACTGGGAAAACCTACCTAATAATGAAAAATCCAGCAAAAGGGGCAACACCAGGTAACTACAGGCCAATTACCTGCTTACCAACAACTTTCAAATTACTAACTGGTGTGGTAGCTGATGCAGTACAACAGCATCTAGTTGAAAACAATCTCTTTCCACCTGAGCAGAAAGGAAACCGCCCCAATAGCAGAGGAACAAAAGATCAACTCCTAATAGACAAAATGGTCTTGGAAAACTGCAAGAGAAGGAAGACCAACCTGAATGTGGCATGGATTGACTACAAAAAGGCATTTGACTCTCTGCCACATGATTGGATAATCAAGTGCCTAGAAATAACAGGAGTAAGTAGAAACATCAGAAAATTTGTGCAAAAATCGATGGCACAATGGAAGACACAGTTGCAGATCAATGGTGAAAAGCTGGGAGAGGTTAATATCAAGAGAGGAATATTTCAAGGAGATTCATTATTACCATTACTATTTGTTATTGCACTGTTTCCTCTGTCAACAATACTGAATAACTCAGGACATGGCTATCAAACATCAAAAACATCTGCTAGACTATCCCACCTCCTTTACATGGATGATCTGAAGCTGTATGGAAAAACATCATCTGAAATAGAATCGCTGCTCAACACTGTCCGTATATATAGCCAAGATATTGTAATGGAGTTTGGCTTGGACAAATGTGCCACACTTACTATCAAACAAGGAAAAAAAGTGAAAACTGAAGGAATCAAGATGCCCCACGAAAATAACATTAAGAGTCTGGATGAGGAAGAATACTACAAATACTTGGGTATCCTTCAAGCTGACAACATCAAGCACACTGAAGTCAAGAAAAAGATTAGAGGTGAATACATCAAGAGAGTGAAGAAGATCTTAAAATCCAAACTCAATGGAGGAAATACCATAAAGGCAATCAACACCTGGGCAATCCCAGTCATTAGGTACACAGCTGGAATAGTGGACTGGACTCAAGCAGAACTAAAAGCAATGGATAGGCAGACCAGAAAAATAATGACAATGAATCATGCCCTTCATCCACGCAGTGACATTGATAGACTTTATCTACCAAGGCAAATAGGTGGGCGTGGAATGCTACAAGTACATCAGATGGTTGAAGAAGAAAAAATGGCTTTGGAAGAATATCTGAAGAACAATTATGAAGATGCACTGAAATTAGTATATCAGGAAGGCTTACTAACTACTGGAGAGACCAAACTGGCCTACAAGAAAGACCAAATGAAGAACAGAATAGAGGCATGGGAAGACAAAGCACTACATGGCCAATACATGAAAAAAATAGCTGGGAAAGCAGATAATAATAAAACCTGGCAATGGCTAAGAGCAGGAAAATTGAAGAAAGAGACCGAGGGACTAATTCTGGCTGCACAAGACCAAGCCTTAAGGACAAATGCATACAAAGTCAAAATTGAGAAGACAGCAACAGACAGTAAGTGCCGCCTATGCAAAGAAGCTGAAGAAACAGTGGACCACTTGGTAAGCTGTTGCAAGAAGATTGCACAGACTGATTACAAGCAGCGGCATGACAAAGTAGCAACAATGGTGCATTGGAAGATCTGCAAAAAATATCATTTGCCTGTAAGCAAAAACTGGTGGGATCATAAAATAGAGAAAGTCATAGAAAATGATAAAATTAAACTGCTCTGGGACTTCAGAATTCAAACAGACAAGCACCTGCAACATAACACCCCAGACTTAACAATTGTCGATAAGAAAGACAAAAAAGTCTGGATAGTGGACGTGGCAGTGCCTGGAGATAGCAGAATAGAAGAGAAAGAACTGGAGAAGATAACAAAATACAAAGACCTACAAATAGAAATAGAAAGACTGTGGCAAAAGCAAGCAAGGGTAGTACCAATAGTCATAGGCTCCTTGGGTGCAATCCCAAAACAACTGGAGCACCACTTGAACACCATTGGCATTGACAAATTCGCTATTAGTCAATTGCAAAAGGCGGCCTTATTAGGAACTGCTTCCATCCTGCGACGATATCTGTAATACCATCAAACATCCACATCTGCCTATCCCAGGTCCTGGGTAAGGACTCGATAGGTAGACAAAATGCCAAATCCAGTCTGAACATCTGGCTGACTGTGCGATGATCGATAATAATAATAAAAAGATATGTGATAGTAGGCAGGCAGGCAGACAGACAATAGCATCAGGCTAGAAATCAGGAAACCCTGAGATCTAGTCCCACTTTAGACAGGAAAATCAGCTGAGTGACTTTGGGACAGTCATTCTCTCACAGCCCAACTTACTTCACAGGATTGTTGTTGTGTGGAAAATAGAAAAGAAGGGGGTATATGGTGGGTTTGCCACCCCTGAGTTATTTATAAAAACAATAAAGACAGGATAAAAAAACCTAAATCTAAAAATAATGAACCCACAATATGTTCTGTGAAAATATCTCCAGTATAGAGCATGGATTTTTCCTATTACAACTGTGTGTGTGTGAGTGTGCGTGTGTTTGTCTGTGTGAGTTTGTGCCTGTGTTTTAACAAAGCAGTAACTCAGCCCCCAAAATTAAATCACTTTTTCAAATGGTAATTTTTAAAACATATATTGTTCAAAAATTGAGATTATCATGTTTTACATTGACAATTTCCCTTTGAAAATAATATTGTAAATTTCAAAAATTGGGATTACTCTTTTTCAAAGTAAATATATGTTTATCTCACAATTCTTATACTTTCCCCCATGGTTCTGTTTTAGTTTGTACACTTCTCTCTTCAGTATCAAAGGGCATATCTTATTTTGACTAAGAAGACACCTTCAACTACAATTCCCTTTTGCACAAAAACTGCATCTCCAGTCATGGATGATAGATGCTAATAACGAATGGGGTTGGCATGAAAATTCTCTCTAATTCAGAAGTATTTTATTATGCAGTTACTGGACTATAGTAGTCATTAAGTAATCACAGCAATATTCAGATTACATTTGAATGGTATATGCAAACATTAAATATTTAAAACATATTGCTTTAAAACAGTCATTTTATATCATTTACATCTTTAGTCAAATAAATGGAAAAGATTTATTTTAAAGAATCTTATTATTCCTTATTAATAAAAAACATCAGGGGCAGAAAAGTTCACACCTACTGCTTCAACAGATTGCTTATAACTTGTCATTTAGAAATCTGTCAATTTCTTTAATTGCTTACACAGAATCTGAGTAAGACTCATTCAGATTAATTCAACACTGAATATGCTTTCATAGTAAACATGAGTGACTAAAATCTGATTAGGTGTTAAACATTTTTCATCAGTTCTTAAGAAAATGTCCCAATAACATTTTCATGATTTTTATTTAACAATTCAATGGCAGCTATGATTTTGTAGCTGGCTTTCCTGAATTGATACCCACATATATTGTCTTTGCTCAACATGGAAGAGATCTTTGCTTTCCATATTCTGTTCCAAAAGTGTTCTGTTTTGTAGCATTAAAGTCTGTATTTGGTCCAGTAGATGTCTGTTTTCTTCTTCTAAGTTCCCTTTTAGTTGGCTAAGCAGCTGTCAAAATGTCCAAACATAACATTTAGTGCAAATAGTGAGCCAATTTTATTTATACAGTGCAATTAACTAAGACAACTAATTAATAACACAAGCTAGCCCTAGAAAATACATTATTTTCAGTTGCTTTTCTTTTAACTAAAAACACTCTGCTGGTACTCTTTAAGTTTTATTATATTTTTGGCTATCAGTAAATATATCTAGAATTATAGCCAATGGGAATGGTATATGACAAATTTCTTTTTGGGAATATTTCAGGGCATTTGTCAGATTTTTGCCTCTCTTTTACACACAACATGAAACAATGATTATTCAACATGAAGGTTTCTTATTTTTAGGGATAACAGAAGAATCTAAGAATGCTAACCCATTCCGTTGTCCTAGAAAGAATAGATTGTAAATTGAGTAAACCGAGAACTCAGTTCTGCATTTAAATTTAATTTCATTCATATATTGATCAACTATTGCTATAGTGATTAACTATCAACTATCGTGAAATAGTAATATCACTTTACAATGCCTTGGTAAGGCCACATTTGGAATACTGCATCCTGTTTTGGTCACCACGATGTAAAGAAGATGTTGAGACTCTAGAAAGAGTACAGAGAAGAGCCACAAAGGTGATTAGGGGACTGGAGGCTAAAACATATAAGGAACGGTTGCTGGAACTGGGTATGTCTAGTTTAATGAAGAGAAGGACGAGGGGAGACATGATAGCAGTTTTCCAATATCTCAGGGGCTGCCACAAAGAAGAGGGAGTCGAGCTATTCTCCAAAGCACCTGCAGGCAGGACAAGAAGCAACGGATGGAAACCAACCAAAGAGAGAAGCAATCTAGAACTAAGGAGAAATTTCCTGACAGTTAGAACAATTAATCAGTGGAACAACCTGCCTCCAGAAACGGTGAATGCTCCAACACTGGAAGTTTTTAAGAAGAGACTGGACAGCCATTTGTCTGAAATGGTATAGGATATCCTGCCTGAGCAGGGGGTTGGTCCCTTCCAACTTTGTTTTTAAATTATTATTATTATTATTATTATTATTATTATTATTAATAATATTATTATAATATAAGAGAGACTTCCGGTGGCGTTTGCCACGCCGATGGCAGCTTTCTTCTAGCCGCCTGCCCTGGGATCACGTAAAAGTCTGCGGAGACAGCGAAAATCAGCTGTTCCACAGCTTAAAACCTCTTTCCTTGGGAGAAGAGGAAGAGGAGAGCTTCTTGGGTAAAGTTAGAGCTCCCCTGGATCCCCATAATTTCAGGGAGGTCGGAGGGTAAGAGCTCCCTTGGAGCCCAAGTTTAACTCCGCATTCCAGGTCGTCTTTGTTCCGAAATTTAGGAACAAAACTAGATGCCGCTTCCACATCTGTTTTTTAAAGTGAGCTTGTGAGTATTTAGAACACTGGTTCTCAACCTTTTTAATGCCGTGACCCCCAACTGGTCGTAAGTCAAAGACTACCCAACCGGTCGTAAGTCAAGGACTTTCCCTGCCCAGGAGCGCCATGCATGATGGTGCCGCCCTCTGCGCCGGCCAAGGCGTAGCTTACAACCACTGTTGTAAGGGATTGGACTATGTCCCCGTATATGTTCCTACCCAACTGGAGAAACTTGTCTGTTAAGACCTGATAAACTGTCAGTAAATTCATGTAAATACTCATATTATCAGATTTCTTTCATCAAAAGCACAGAGATGTTGACCTTTTGAATAAAGGGCATCTACTGATGGCTGTCTAATAAAGTATGATAAGCAACTGTAAAAAAAATAATAACTCTATGGAAAGACCACTGGATTAATATTATGAAACAAACAGTAATTAGAAGACTTATATTGAAAAGTGATTCTTTTGAAGATTTGCAGGTGCTACATTGCTATCCCTATACATCCCAAAGAATCTTTTAGGAATTGAATTCAAAGAAGTTTAAAGCCCTAACAGCAAATTCAGATCTGATTTGTTTTTAGCACCATTTCTTTTCTCCAAAGAGAGTAGTATCAAGTCCTTTATGCTAAATGGATGACAGATGAAAGGCTCTTTCTCATAGTCACATCAATTTATTTCCTTCTTACAACTGAATTGGGGGAAAAATATGTTGGCATAAATTGTTGGCTGCCCCTGCAGCCCATTTTCATTGCATCTCAACAGCCTCCCTATACTATACGTTGCCTTCACAGGAGTTAACAGTTAGTTGGTTTCAGGGCTAGGTGGACTTCATGCTTTTTTTGCCTGTCAATCTATCCTGGGCTAAAAGCTTCTGCCCACCTAGTAGTTCGAAAACATGCAAATGCAAGAAGATTAATAGGTATCACTTCGGTGAGAAGGTAACAGCATTCAGTGTACCTTTGGCCTATAGCCAGGCTGGCCACATGACCAGGGAAATTGTCTTCGGACAAGGGTGGCTCCCTCAGCCAAAAAACAGAGATGAGCACCATGCCCTAGAGTCAGAGAGGACTGATAGGGAAGCCCTTACCTTTAGTTTCAGGGCAGTGATTGATGGATTCCCTGGCAAGAGTCTATATCATTTTACATTTGCTCATGTTGAATCTGCTATTTTTACACCTAGTATCCTAATCCCCTTGGACTTTTTCTTGGTCCCTTATGTTATTAACTGTGATCAGCAAACTTGCTCATTCCAATTATCACATCAAATTCTAGATCATTTATAAATGTTAAAATATACCAGTCCTAATAGAGATTCTTGGGGGACCCTACTAGTTATAACCCTCTATGTAAGGCATGTTCATTTATTCCTACTTTTTATTCATTACGCTTTAGCCAACTACTTATTCACAAGAGAATCAGCCCTTTTATTCTGTTGCTGTTAAACTTACTGAGAAATCTTTGATGAGGCACTTTATCAAAAGCTTTTCAGAAATCTGACTAATGAGGTCTATTGGTTTGCTCTTATTCACATATTTATTAACATCCTCAAATTCTCTGCTAAATTAGACAAGATCTTCCCTTAAAGAAACCATGTCAAGTATCCTTAAATAAAGCCTATGCCTTCCAACTCTACCTGTCTAATTGGTCCTGGACATGGAATAGGTAACATTTCAAAGAAAGCTACTCTGGTGGTTCTGGCTTCCAGCTTAGCCATCTGAATTTAATTTCTAGGACCTCCCAACTATATTTAAGAAAGCCATTAGTGCCCACAACAATCGCCTGATAGATTGCTAGCAATATCTAACAATCTATCTAGACAGTGCATAGTACTTGTAACCTTCATACAGGCAGACAAATCACCATGCAGTCAGCAGCAGACACCAGGTAGTCACCACCAGACACCCAGCCATTTAAATTCCTAATGATCAAATCATCTGCCACCAGAAACTTCATTACCCAAGGAGAATTCTCAATGCAAGAGGAAACCTGTTCGGATTTTAAGGAATGGGTTTCTTCTAAGGGAGAACTTCCCTCTTCCTTAGACTGATGTCTTCCTTCCCCAGGACCCTCGTTCTCTGAAACAGCCAAGAAGCTGTCACCCCGTGAATAAGATTTTTGTTACCTCTCTGAGCCCTTTACTTGCATCTCTCCCTCTTCCACTGTTCCAGTAGAACTACATTTCTCTCAGGGGAATTGTTTCCTGAACACCAAGAGCTGTTTGCACTGAACACTCTTCCAGTAATTCCTATTTAACATTTTCTGCTTCTCCTCTGCTCTTAGTCTTGTTTCAACAGTTGTGGATTCAAACTTTCACTTTTATTTTTTTAGCCTTAATTTTAATTATTTACCGAGTATTTCTTCATAGAACTAACAATCTCCTAGCAGGCAGACATTCTGGTCAGAGAAAAAGAGTCTTGGTGTAATTATGTTCACCCTACTGCAACTGAGATGGAAGAAGAATCAGAGAATACATGCTTTTTGTTTTTGTTTATCAAACATTGCTTGTTTTTTGGCTATACCTATCATGACATCCATTTTATCCTCCTAAACACAGGAAAAAAGGTACAAAGCTGAGGAAAAAGTAAAAGACAGAAAAGAGTGGAAAATGGCCAGAAATTACTATACCGAGTTGAAAGTTTTAATATCAAATTATCTGCAACTTTTCTGGAGATGAATGAATTAATAAATCCATCATTAGATGCATTCTCAAACTAAGGAAACTTCTTAACTCTTTATGTAAAACATAAACCCAATATTTGATTCAATAAAGGAAAATTTATTAAAGTTATTTATGGTTTTTAATATCTTGTTAAAAATATACAAAAACAGTATTTTTTTTTTAAAAAAAAATAAAAATTATAATGGCACCATGAGATAAATTCTGTGACTGGAAATCTCTTTTACAAATAAGTCCTATCTTTGATGCTGGGCTTTGGCAAGGTGAATGGGAAAGTTTTGTTATTTCATGCCAGACAGGCCACCATCACATTCTGTTCTAACTTGTTCCCAAACCTTCAGAGCAGTGACCAGATAAAATATTAAAAAACAGCCATCAAAAATACTCTTCTACCAACAGAATCAGACTAAAATCAGCCCCTAACGAAGTTCCAAACTATTCCCACTAATGTCTTCTTGAAACCCAGGTTAGAATAAATTAAGGCCAAAGAATTTAGAGACCATATTTAAAAATATGTTAAATTATAAAATTTGTAATTCTAATTTATTTATAAATGCATATAAATATACCATATATTTAATTACACTATAATAAAGCATTGTAAGGATAGTATAAACTGATTACCTCGCACTGATTATTTAATTTTGTGTGAGTAATGTCCAGTTGTTGATATTGTTCTTTAAGTTTAGAAAATTCAGCCTCCAATTTTGTTTGCTCTAGTTTAGAACTGTTTAATAAAGTTTTTAAATTCTTGTGATCAACCTGAAGAACTTCATTCTCTTTCAAAAGTTGTATGTATGTATGATTTAATCTGTAATTAATAATGATAAAAATGAAATAACAATATTACCATAAAATTTGCTTTCACAAAGTGTCTGTAAACATTGGTGTTTATATATCTTAAGTTTATTATTTTTATAAATAATTCAAGGCAGCAAGTACACCTAATATTACTTCCTCTGATTTTCCCTATAAAAACAACCCTATGAGGTATCAATGAAGGAGAATATTAGGATTGAAATGAGAGATCCTTGGTGCTCTCTGATGATGTTACCTAGTTAGGGTAATGAAACATCTGCAAGAAAACAAGCAAGTTCAGAGAGCACCATGGACCCCTGTGAGGTATGCATGTAGTATTGTTCTTAACAACAAAAACAAAGCATGAGTACCAATGCTACAACCTTTTTTGTATAGTATTTTCCTCATATCTAAGATGAATTTCTATGAATATATTAGAGATGGATTGCAATGTTCTTAAAATAGCTCAGATTTTAACAATGCTTTTGCACTGTGCTGAGTAAAATCCAATACCGCACCAATGGAAATGTCCTGTTTTTTCTCCTTTTCCATTCCCCTTTATTCCTCAAAACTCTTTCACTGATTTTAAAAACGTCAGAACAGATTTTAATATATAGACTTGATTTCAAGGCAAGGGAAGGTTATCTTTCTACTGGTTTTGCCAATGGAAGCAATTACATCAACTGAAAGACTTTACTGTATTTCAGTTATGATCATGGTCAATTTCAATATCTATAATACAATATATATACAGAGCCTAAGGTAGTCCTCTACTTAACAACCTGGAGAAGCCTGTAAAGTACTTCTGACTGTCATAGAATGATGTGCCTCCATTCCCCAGTAATGTACTTCATTTCAGGCACCTTGCAAATAGCTCACCTTTATAACTGCTTGCAATATCCTATGGTCATGTGACTGTGATTTGCAACTTTACTGATTTCTGGCATTTTTTGCCAGTTTCTGCCAAGAAACATTCATTCATAGTGGGCTTACACTTATGATTGCAGCGCTCACTTAATGACCACAGACATTGCCCTAACAATCATCACAAAAAAGGTTGTAAAGTAAGGCCAATCTCAGCTTATAATTGTAATAACTTACACTTGAAAATCTGGTACCAATTTCAGATATAACTCAAGGACTACTTTAATTCATTAGTATTGTTTCTCACCTATCATTTTCTTCACAAAGCTTTTTGTATTCCACTGCTACCATTTCATGTTTCTTGTTTTGCTGAAGCATTTTCTCTTGCTCCACTTTGAGGCCTTTTTCCAATTCCTCTAGTTGTACTTTTTGCTGAAGTAATTCACTGTATCTGTCAGGTGAATATAAAATTATAAGAAGTATTCTCAAATATAAATTGTAAAAATAATTAAGAAACTATATTTTACTTTTTTATTAAACTGTTTATTAAACCATTCTATGGCTTTCCTAATTTAGCTAGATTTAGCACAATGTAATTACCTGTCTTCTAAATCCTTATATTCTACCTCAAGATTCTTATGTACAGATTTAAGGTTTCCATGCTTAGAAATGAGAGACTCATATTCAGCTGCTTGCCGCTCATGAAGTTGTTCCAATTTTTCATGATCTTTGATTAGAGAATCATAAAATGACTTCAAGTCTTCCCGTTCCTTTATTATAGATTCATTTTCATTTTCTAAGGTTGATTGTTGAATCAATAACTGTGCATTCTGGTTCATAAGTGATGTGCTTTGGGAATTAATTGTTGAATTCTCCACCTACAATGAAAAAAATTAGTAATTAGCCAATGTATAACGGGCTCCTTTTAATGTATGAAAAAAATATTTTTCGTTGCCATCTTCTTTCAGCTACAGGTAGTCCTTGACTTACAACAGTTCATTTAATAACCATTCAAAGTTACAACGGCCTCGTGAACTAACACCACACCGGAAGTCAGCATGCCTTGATGCTTGTTATGGATGGCTCATCTGAGTTTTCATGTTTCATAATAGACATCTGAACTGATGGTTGAACCACGCTCCATGAGCTTCACTAGCAGTACTCCTTTGATATCTTCACATTTGGCGGGATTTTCTATGGACCACTTCCGGTGTGGTGTTGGTTTACTAATGCTCGCCCACACACTGCTAGACACACCCAAGAACTTCTGAAGCAATTCTGTTGGGATGTTTTTGATCACTCCCCCCAGATTTGGCACCAAGCAACTACTACTAAGGAATTTCAAATCTTATAAGACATTATGACAAGTGCCTTAATTTGAATGACAATTATGTCAAAAAGTAATGTAATGTTGTAGTTTTCTAATGGGTATAATAAAAGTTCTGTATCTGTAAGTGTCTGTCATTGATAACCAAATGGAGGTTTATTTCTGAATTGCCCTCGTAGCTTACTTGCAGTTTCTTTCTCTCAAATCAGTATGTTCTGAAAGGGGGAAAAAAAGAAGAAACCACAGGTTAGACTTCTGCTTTTGCACCCGTAGCACATGGCCGTGCGAGAATGGACCTCCACTCTCCACGGCTAATTTTAAAGAGGTGACCGTGAAGGAGGGGCGCCCCGTTGATGATGAAGTGACGGTGGTCACTTCGTTTGGTTCGAGGGAAGTTTTCCGAACCCGACAGGAGAAAGGCTAGTGTGAGATTAGCATCTGGCCCAAGCTACTTGCAGCCGAAGTCCCAGAGCACGAACCTGAACATCGGTGAACAGCATGCTTGGAATTGGTGAGAGTACTGATCTTCTTTCTTCTATCTACTAATTGAATTCTTAAGAAAGATCCCCAAAGCAAGAAAACCTCCGGAAGTGAAGGGAGGGGACTATATCCCCATTCCCTTATACACGGAAGCGGCAAATTAATATTAAGGAGGAAAGAGATATACTAAAATTTGATTTAAAATACTACAGTCTGGACAAATCTAGGAACTAAGAAACTGTCAAGATTATACCCTAAAGAGTTTTTGATGGAATTATAAAAATATACAACAAAAATAACTTTTTGATTGAAAAAAAACTGAAAAAAGAAATAACTGCTAACATGTAGTGAAGAATCAGAGCATAGAACACTAACAATAATGACTCAGAAATTGGCAGAATGCCTAGAAATAAAGAAAAAGCTGTTCCTTTGAATTGCAAATAACCTTGAAGACAGCTGGGAACAAAGGAAGAACCAGCTATAAGATTAAAAAGTGTCTGAAAGGGAAAAAAAAAGACCTGGACTATTGCTTAAATCTAAGAACTGTTTATGGAAAAGAAAAACCTTGGCTTTTGGCTAATCTTTTAGAGGAGAATTTACAGGAAGGATTTAAAGTGGCTTAACACACTGAACTGTAATTTTGACTGACTGATAAATTGACTTTTGAATTAAAACATTGATGAAAGATTAATTGAAGGGGAGACATGGACATCACATACATATCAAAAAATGACAGGATGACACAGTCAACATTTTCTCCTGAAAGATTTAGCCTGGAAAATCAAGAGCCTCCAGAAGTAATATTTCAAGGCAAGATAAATACTTTCCAGGAGGAAATATATGTAATGTTACGACAAATACAAATGACAATAGACTCAAATCACAAGGAAATTCAAAACAACTTTTATGATTTAAATAAGCATATTTCCAATCTAAATCTACAATTAAAAAACACCCAGGAAATAACAATGAATGAACAAATAAATCAGATAACAGACTACAAATTAGAACAATATGATCAAATTGATAAAATAACAAATGAAAATAATTACAATTTAACACAAACAGGAAAAAATCTACAAGGTTCTGATACAACAAGAAAAGAGGACTATAGAATTACCAGGAGAACCATCAAAGTATTCATCTTACTTACTTCATCTTTTGTATTCCCAATAACATTTGTAAAAACACAGGAACTGCCGGGTAAGTGGATTACATCAACCTGGAACACTACTCAGCAAAAGAGACAGATACAAGAGATTTGACTTGCCATACCAGATGGACTCAAATACTTTGGCCGCCTAATGAGAAGGAAGGACTTACTGGAGAAGAGCCTAATTCTGGGAAAGATTGAGGGCAACAGAAGAAAGGGACAACAGAGAATGAGGTGGCTGGATGGAGTCATTGAAGCAGTAGGCGTGAGTTTAAATGGACTCCAGAAGATGGAAGAGGACAGAAAGGCCTGGAGGAATGTTGTCCATGGGGTCGCGATGGGTCGGACATGACTTCGCAACTAACAACAACAAGAACAACCGGATGGACTATTACGTGAAAAAACATTTATTTGAATATGGCTAAAAAAATAGAGAACTTTGAACATAATGGGGCCCTATAACAAGAGGGATAAGAGATTTAAGTAATATAGTATGTTCAATAATATATGAAATGTAAAAATAGTAGGTTGATGTAACTTTTATTAATATAAGTGAAAAGAATGTTATATTTAGATACTATAAGATAGATAAAAAGTATAGTATTTTTATAATGCATGACATAAAATATTGGGATGATGTACTTAAATGGGAAAATTTGGACAGTTAGATGACTAACGTATGAAGAAATTATGGCTGGTAAGAATTGGATTGAATATAAGGGAAATTAAGTGCAAACAAAAATTACGAAAATAAGATGCATGCTGAACTAATGAAATGATGGTTATAAGAATAATATAAGCTAGAAAAAATGTCATACATAATTATTACTATTTGTATAAATACAAAACATGTCTATATCTGATCATTTATATATTGAAAATATTAAGAATTATATTTTGGTTAAGGTTGAAAGAAAATATAAATGGGAAAAGAGAAGATCAAAGAAATATATCATTAATTAATATACTAATTATGGAATTATCAAACTTAATCATTATTGATTGTTGATTATTATTGTCTTTTTTTCTTGTTAAAATATAAACCAAGACAACCCGCTGTACACCAGGCACTGATAGGTCAGCACAGGATAATGCGTGCTGAGTTTAACACTGATCACATGACTGAGGTCATAAACAGATTGTAAAGTTTTTTTTCAGCACCACTGTAACTTTGGTCCCTGAACGAATGATCAGTAAGCAAGGACTACCTGTAAGTTATGAATGTGGAGAAAATATTTATATATGAAAACAGAACCTGAAGTTTTGCATTTTGAGTTTGCAGGGTTGTATTTTGCTCCTGTAAGGAAACAGTCTGTCTTTGAAGTGCTAAAATCTGAGCTTGCAAATTATTATTCTGCGTCTCAAGTTGCTTTAGTTGAGTTTTCAGGGCTTGCTTTTCTGCCTGCAGAGTTGCATTCTTTAGAAATAAAAAAAATACATATTAAATGCATGTACCTCTTCAATAAAACAAAAAAAAATCAATATTTTTAAAATTCTGTATCCAACATTAAAAAATGTCCGAACTTTCAAAAGCAGTAAGTTAAGATCACAAATTATAAGCATAACTTAAAAATAGATAATATTTAAGTTAAAATCCCACATTTCAAGCTGAAACTATAGAGACATATTTAAACAACACTATATCAGAGGTCCCCAACATTTTGGGCACCAGGGACTGGTTATGTGGAGAGGGGATTTTCCACGACCGGAGGGGGTGTGTTTTTGTGTGCTGCCTGAATCCTGTGGATGGGGCTTTGTTTGTTTGTGCAGACCGGTTGCTGGCATGCTGCAGCCCGGCACCGGTCCATAGACCAGGGGTTGGGGACCCCTGCAATGTATGACTAAGGGACAGTGATTAGGGAATCAGGGTAGAAACAGGGAAATCGTGAGTTCTAGGCACACAGCCATTGAGTGACCTTGAACTATCACTTTCTCTCAACCCAGGAAGGAGGGACTGGCAAACCACTTCTGAAAACTTTTGCCAGAAAACTGCAGGGACTTGTTCGGGCAGTCTCTGAAAATCAGACACAACTGAATGGATGGGAACTAATCAAGGAGAGAACCAACCTAGAACTAAGGAGAAATTTCCTGATAGTTAGAATAATTAATCAGTGGAATGATTTGCCTCCAGAAATTGTGAGTGCCCCAACACTGGAGGTTTTTAAGAGACTGGACAACAATTTGTCTGAAATAGTATAGAGTTTCGTGCTTGGGCAGAAGACTTCCATGGTGCCTTCCAACTCTATTATTCTGTTATTCTAGAAAAAAAAAGAGTGCAGAAATGTTGTCAAGGCTGGAACTGTGACCAGCCTGTTACAGCCTTGGCAACAGTTCTGCAGTCTTTTTTTCTGGCCAGCACAGCTTCTCTCGATCAGAGCAAGCTGAAGAGATCATATGCTCCATAAGACTGCTTCTCACTCATGAGTGGGAGATGAGGAAAGGAACATCAGGCTTGCAGCCTCAGTGGAGCCTTTAATTGGCACTGGGTCTAAACAAATCCCACTTTCTAAAGCACTTTGGACTACAATTATTTAAAGGCTATAAATGATCTTTGAAACATTTTTATTAGACCATTTGGTAAACATTCCTATGGCAAGTGGTGTGACTAACAGAAAAAAAAGGAACACGAATTTAAAAATTAATTTGCAGCATAAAGCAAAATTAACAGTTGGGATTAAAAAAGTTTTTAAATGGACAAAGGGAATAGAAATGTTTTGATGGACTTTGTTTATACAGTATTAAGTTCCTCTGAATTAATTAAATACTACATACTTCCATGGAGAAGTGTTTTGTTTGGATTCTTCAAGGAAAATGATTGATAGGCTCTAAAAGAGTCCTTGGAGAATCCGAAGACAAAAAAGGGTCATGTGAAGGGGCACAGACTGCAGAATTCTGAAGAAGAAGAAGAAAAATTCTCCTTTTTTATATTTTTTTTCATTTTGAACTATAAACTATGATAAAGATAGCTACAACTAGAAAAATAGTAGCTAAAGAAGGGAAGGAAAAAATTGTTGATTGACCAATCTGCTGAGATAACACCTGAGAATTTACAAAGAATGTTTGAGAAATGGGAAAGATTGTCACAGCCTCAACAGCAGCTGTAACACAGAGGAAAGACTGAATTTGGAAGAAAAAAATTCAGAGGAATACATACTGCTTGTACAGTAGTCAAGAGGAAAGTGAAGGAACAGGAAGGAACCATGCTTGGGGCATGCACACAACAGGCCTGTGACTAACTAAAAACAAATTAAATAAAGCCCACACAGCTCTAAAAGATTCTAACATGTTGTCTGTACAAACATATCACCAGTGTTAAGATCCACAACAACCATGCAATGTTTAACACAGTGTTTCTCAACCTTGACAATTTTAAGGCATGTGGACCTCAACTCCCAGAATTCCACAGCCAGCATTGCTGCCTGTGGAATTCTGGGAGTTGAAGTCCACATGCCTTAAAATTGTCAAGGTTGAGAAACACTGCCAGTTTCTAGTAAAACAAATGAAATACTTACATTTCTTTCAACTTCAATTAATCTGTCTTTAACCTTCAAAAGTTCTCTAGTAGTTTCCTGATTCTCTCTTTCCCATTTAGTGACAGGCTGACTTTCTTCATCAAGTTTTGAAGAATAACTCTGTACCATTTTCTCCTCCTCTTGTCTTTGCTTGAGGGCTTCATAATTCTTTTTCACCTAAAGATAAATTAGTTCAAATTTTAATATACAAATTATTTATTACATTTCTACTCTATTTTCCCTCAAAAATATATACATTTTAACTTCATAAAAACCAGTTGGAGGTTAGGTTGTAAGTAAACTGATTGAATGGAGACCTGAACCTAGGTCTCCCAGTTCTAGTCAAATAATCTGATCATTATTAAAGACCATTATTTATTTCTATAACAGCCTCTTTTGCTATGAACTGCAAAAATAAGCAGGATAAAATGCAAATAACAACCTGATCTCAAGATCTGTCACATTATTATAGAAATGTGGAGGATAACATTGAACACTTCTTGTCATTATTTATTGTTGTCATGTTTAGCCCATATCAAGATTTTTTTCTAATGAATGCATTGTTAATTATTCCATTATTTCATTTATGATTCATCAAGGATCATACAGACCAATACATGTTCAGACTACATGCTATACCATTTGGAGTGCGCCTTACTGAACAGAGATAGAATTCAGTTTCCAAGCACTCAAAAGAATTATACATCTAAATATTCTTATGACTTAATAACTTTTAAACTATATTTTAAAATTTAAATGATCTTATTTTTTTTGTATAAAATTCAAGAGTCAATATTAATAAAAATAGAAATAGTATGATGCAAAATTTAATACTGCCAATTATTTTTAGAGTAATTGGGAGCCAGCCAGCCAGAATAAATCAAGTAGAGTGAAACTCTTGCAAGAGAGGCAGAAAGAGTATAGTGAAAGGAATTCTGGTGAGCTAAGGCCTAACAGCTATTCCCCCACTTTCCTATTTTGAAAAAAGGAACAGTTTAACAGTGGAAAAGTGCAAGTTGTGGAAAACTATACTTTAACAATGCTTTTGCTTTCAAATTAGCAGTGTTTGTAAACAGTAAATATTTTTAACTTATAGATTTGCAGTTTAATAAATGTAAACTTTTTATGAACTTAAAAATAAGTTGCAGTTACTACATCACAAGAGAGATGGGAACAAGTTTTAACTTACTATCTTAAGCTCTTGACGCAACTGTCGATTTAGATTAGTCGATTCTTCTAATCGTGCTTCCAAGGCAGCAATTTTTTCTTCTTTTATTTCAAGTGATTTCTTCAGGGTGGACTCTAACCTTGACTCCAAAAGTTTGTACTTACTGTTTAATGAAACAATTTTAATGACGTTGTCATTATCAGTAATTCACTTTAAATAAATCATAACCTTTATTTCAACTTAATGAATCTGAAATTGCTAAACTGACAGTTTTGGAATATTTATATGAGAAAAAAAAAACACTGTTCCCAGATGTCAAGAGTGTGCATGTGTTCAAAGCTTGACCTGAATCTATTAGGGCCAAGAATTTTTTAGTCATAATCCCAGTGTTACAGAAATATGAATACCTATTTTCATATTTCAATATTTCTTCCACAGTGACTCTGTTTTTAGTCTGTTCTGGTTTTAATATTGTTGGCCTTTTTTGTATTATATTTTGTATTACAGTTTGATTACTGTATTTTGTTTCATTTTAAAGGCAACAATTGTTTCATGATCTCAAACATTGTATTTATTTGATTTTGATTTGATTGCTTTGTATCTGGCAGTTGTAAACTGTGGATCATGGCTTTGTAGGGAGCATTGCAATATATAAACATAAATAATAGAACATATATATTTGTTGATATATATATATCAACACACACGCACTAGAAATAAAAATGGATACATTGTAAAAATGCAACGATGCTAGAAATGTGTTATCTACCATAAAACTATTTAAATGTTAATAAACTGTTTTCTAGTAGCCTAAATCAGGAGTCCCCAACCTATGGTCCATGACCTGGTACTGGGCCGCAGGAATAGCTGGTGAGGCCCCCTCACTTGTGATAGCACTGCCGCGTGGGTGCTACTAGCCCCATTTGTGCATGTGTGGGGGCGCTAGCAGTGCCACCAGCATCACACGGAGGCCAGTGGCCCGTTTGTGGATGCATGTGGATGCCAGCATCACATGGAGTGCCAATGGCCACCAGCATCACATGGAGACCAATGGCCCTTTTGCGCATGTGCGCAGATGCCAGCAGCCCATTTGTGCATGCATGCACTAGCATCTCCGCCATGCATGGGCTGCGTACACACATTTCCGTGCTCCTCTCTTTCTTTCCAAGCTGCCAAGCGGAAAGATTGGGGAGCTCTAGCCTAAACAATACACTGTAATTACACATCTAAAATGTCATATTACCATGAATCTAGCAATATAAAACATGCATTTTTTGGTAAATTTCCTCATTCCACTTTACTCTTCTTCTGATCCAATCACTGAATTTGCTTTCGCCACACTTCTTGCTGATCTAATTCTACACTTGTTAAGAACTAATGATGGAACAAATAACAGAAGATGTATTTTAAAATAGAAAAAAAACACTGTTTTTTCCTTGAGGCTGCAGATTAAAGACTTGTTGCAAGATATAAAATAATAAAGCTGATTAACTTAGAGATAAAATATACTAAATCTCCCATGATCATTATCTTAATCACTGCTAATAATAGACTGCAGTATCAGCTATTATTCTCAATTGACATAAGAACTAGTCAGAAGCTGAAATTCTGCCTTTCTTAACAACTTTTTCCCCATTTCCATAGGCTATACCATCAAGTAAAGAATATACCATACAAACGTTTATATGCTACTGGTATTACATTTGAAGATATAGCAAGCTAAAGATAATCAAAATCATTTCAGACAAAATGGTTGATTTGATCTGAAAAGAATTTTTTTTATTACTAGACTCCAGAATCTAAATTTCTAAAACCACATTTTTAAAAATGTGATACATTTTCTATTACCTTTTCTGTTACGCCATAGAGCAACTACTTCTTTATTAAATGCTGCTCTTCTTATAATAAAAATCTGACAAGATGACCGAAGGAAGTGCCTATTTTATTTTCTCAGTAAGATATATGAACAATAGATCCTTAAAAGAACAAAGTAGAAATATTTTTAGAATAAAATAGAATAACAGAGTTGGAAGGGACCTTGGAGGTCTTCTAGTCCAACCCCGTTTAGGCAGGAAACCCTATACCATATCAGACAAATGATTGTCCAATCTCTTATTAAAAACTTCCCGTGTTGGAGCATTCACAATTTCTGGAGGCAGGTTGTCCAACTGATTATTGTTCTAACTGTCAGAAAATTTATCTTTAGTTCTAGGTTGCTTCTCTCCTTGATCAGTTTCCATCCATTGCTACTTGTCCTGCCCTCATGCACTTTGGAGAATAGCTTGATTCTCTCTTCTCTGTGGCAACCCCTGAGATATTGGAACACTGCTATCATGTCACCCCTAGTCCTTCTTTTCATTAAACTAGACATACCCAATTCCAGGAATTGTTCTTTACATGTTTTAGCCTCTAGTGCTCTGATCATCTTTGCTGTATTTTTCTGTACTCTTTCTAGAGTCTCAACCAGTGGTGGGATTCAGCCAGTTTGCACTGGTTCAGTAGAACCGATAGCTAATTTTTTGTTGACTTCACGAACCGGCTGAAACCCTAGCCCTTTTTCACAAGGCCCAGTATGGATCACTGGAAGTGCGTGGACGTCACTTCCGGAGTCCGTTCTGACCCAGGGAGGCCTCCCAGGCCCAGAACAGCCTACCGGAAGTGCGTGGATGCCACTTCCAGAAGTCTGTTCTGGGCAGGGGAGGCCTCCCAGGCCCAGAATGGCCCATTGGATGTGTGTGGACGCCACTTCTGGAAGTCTGTTCTGAGCCAGGGAGGCTTCCCAGGCCCAGAACGGACTTCTGGAAGCAGCATCCACGCAAAGAACTAGTTGTTCAGGTATTTGAATCCCACTGCTGGTCTCCACATCTTTTTTACATCATGGTGACCAAAACTGGATACAGTATGTGGCCTTACCAAGGCTTATTAATATTATGGAGAGTTTTAATTGGACTTATGGGAGACAATTTGGATTAGAAATGTTAAATTTACACAAGCTCAAAATTTGAGGGAAAATTTTTATAAAATGTTTTATAGATGGCATTTAGATCCTAAAAAATTATCTTGTATGTATCCAAATGTATCCAACAACCCAAATGTTGGAGATGTGGTAATATGGATGCGACATATTTTCATGTTTGGTGGAATTGTAAAAAGGTAAAGGCTTTTTGGGTTATGGTTTGGTGGAACATTCAAAAGATTTTTAAAAGGAAGATAAAGTTCACCCCTCAATTATTCCTATTGGGTGTCTTTGTGGATTTAAAATGACAAAGAAACTACTTTAATGTTGAATTTATTAACTGCAGCAAGGTTATTAGTAGGCTCATATTGGAAGGACTCATTGCCTACTTTAGAAGAATGGATATTTAAAGTTTCTAACTTTGCAGAAATGGCAAAAATTTCTGCTTATTTGAAGGATCATACACAGGAAAGATATATTATTGTATGGAGAAGATGGATAGATTATATTCAGAAAAAATATGGGACTATAAAATTTCATTTATTTTATGAGTAAATTTTATAGTAACTGTTGTAGAGATTTTTTTATGTGACTTAATTTAAGGGGAGTTAAAGGTTAAGTATGATTTTTTTCTTTTTTCTTTCTTCTTTTCTTTTTTTTTATTATTGTTAACTTTCTTCTTAATAACCCTGTACTCTGCTCTGGGAAGCGAGGGGGGGAGGGTTGAGGGTGGGTGGGGGGATGAGTGGGTGGGTAATGATAATATAGTCATGGTAAATGCTTGGGCATTTCCCCTATGCTGAGTTCCTGTGTTTGAGAGGGATGAGAGGGGAGGAAGGAGCAGGGAGGAAGTAGGATGGTTAGAGGAGAAGGGAAGGGGAAGAGAGTAGGAGGGGAGGAGAGAAAGAGGAGGGAAGTAGGGAAGGATTAGAGAGGGTGGAGGCAGCCTGGGGGGAATGGGCAGGCGGTACTAATAGTTAGGAATTTATTTTATTTTGTATGAATAAATGGAAAATAAAAACTTTTTAATAAAAAAAAATATTATGGAGAGTTTCCCCATTCTAATCCAGAGTGTCTTTTACATATTCATACCTGTCATCAGTACTCTGCTCATCATGTAAAAGACGTTCCTTGTTTAAACCTATCTTTTCAAGTTCATGTGTAAGCTTTTCCAAGTCATTATTCATCTGCTGTGTCTTCAGTTTTTCATTCACCAAATCCTTAAAACAAAGCAATGGATTGAACAAATGACTATTTGTTACAAGATATAACAAAAGAGACACAGATTTTCAGAAATTCCTAGAAAGGTTCCTGTACAACTCATACTTGTTTCAAACAGTACAAAATTGGTCAAATTTGTTTAATATAAACAAAATAAGATACAGAAAAAGATAACTCATCTTCAACTCTCCATTATTACAATACTGCATTAAAATCTAGTAGATCAGCAGTTGAGAACAAAGTAAAATGTATGATATATGATTATATATTCAATAATGTCTTTGCTTTAGTGAAAAACTTTTTTTACTTCTGTAAGTTATAATTCTTGATATTTTGTAAATCCTCCTTAAATCCAATGTTTTTATATATTCTTTGTTCTACCTATGCTAGTTTCTCAAACCTCTGGTTCTGGATCTAGAACCTTCAGGAAAATTACACATGATCATACAACGACTATGTGGATGGGACTGATAAAATTCTCTACCTTCTGCTCTGACATTTAACCAAATTTTAAAAATCCAGAAAAGTAGAAGAAATAATCTAGAGAAGTCCTAAAACAATTAGGAATTTACAAAGATTACTTCCATAGTAGCCCTTTTCAATGAAATTGCTATCCTTTGTTCATAGTATTTAGGCTATACCTCTGCTAAAGAGTTGTTTTCTAGTTTTCCCCGTTCTGTATTCCTATATGTTCCTTTAAAACAGGCATGTCAAACTGCCAGCCGGATGCGTCACACCAAAACTGCACCCACCCCATTGTCAGCAATGAGGGAAAAGTCGCGACACATCATGCAATGTCATGTGACGTCGCGAGTTTGATATGCCTGCTTTAAAATAAAAACCTTATGAAATCAATTGAAATCATCTTATGTTAAATATAACTAACTTAAAAAATAACTTATTTCAAATGGAGTCAAGGATACTACAATACTATTCTGTTCACTTTGGAAGGATAGTTACTAAAGCTGAAGCATAAATATTTTGGCCACTTAATGAGAAGCAAGGACTTGTTGGAAAAGACCCTGATGTTGAGAAAGATTGAAGGCAAAAGGAGAAGGGGATGGCAGAGGATGAAATGATTTGATAGTGTAATTGAAGCAATAAACATGAATTTGGGTAAACGTCAGGAGACAATGGGGAGTAGGGCTGGCATGTTATGGTCCATGGGGTTGCGAAGAGTCTGGCATGACTTACCAACTGAACAACTACAAAAATCCTGTTCACTATGGACAAACAAATCAGCAGTAATGTTTACAAATACCACTGAGTTTTTAATTCAATATGTTCTTCTTTTAAAAAACTGACTCCTTTATTTCTTTTTATTAAGAACAGCAGGATGATGTTTGATTGATTGGTCTTACAATTAAGTAGCTTCTGTGTAATGTCAATCAGAATAGATTACAGTATCATTTTCACTGTTTCTACTGTTGTTTTATAGCAAAATAGCTATGACTTCAGGATAAAACAGTGAAGTAAAGTTGCACACCCTTTGTTGATTAACTAAATGCACAATGTTAGCAGGAAAAAACCTGAAAAAGCAAGGTGGAAGCTATTACTTAATTTTGAATTATATGTGTCACAAAAGAGCCCTGGAGAAGGCAATTGCTGTATGACAGAAATATAGTTAAGTGTCAATTTATGCCATTAAAAAAGTCCTTTCAAGAAATGTCCAATAGCAGTTAAGCAGCTATAGTGTGGAAAAACCAAAGTACAAGTACTCACAGAACTGACACATCTAACTAAAGAAAAAAACTATTCTGATTTATATATTATATGGAAGCCCATAAAATAGTACAAACTTAATGTCTTCAAACATCTAAACAATATTTCTGAATCTGAGTTTATAAAGAGGTTTTAACAGTATGTCTAAATAAATTAAAATACAAATAATTTCTGATCAGTAAATTACTGTTGAAATAACATTGATATATAACTAGTACATTACAGCTACATTCCTCTTTATAATGAGAGCATATCATTAGCAATAGTGGACATTACCTCACGTAATGTGACAAGTGTTTTTTTGTCAATGGTAGCTCTTTTTACAAGCTCTTTATTTTCCTTTTCCACTTCTTTTAGACGAATAGAGGCTTCTTTACATAAACCAATTTCTTTAAAGAGTGACTTGTTCTCTTTTTCCAGGTGACCTATTTTCACATTATTTTCTTCTAGTGTACTATCCATAATATCTGCTTGTTGCTTGAGCCTTTTATTCTCTTTTTCTAGCTGTTTCTTATCTTTTTCCAGCTGGGTTGTCTCTTGCTCCAAAAGTTTATTCTCTTTTTCTAATTTTTCTAAACGTTTACTGGAGATTTTGAGTTCCTCAAGATTTTTTTGCAGGATTTGGTTTTCTGACTCCAGTTCTTGTAATTCACTTTCTAGATGTTGAATTTTTTTGTTGTTGTTTTCTAGGGTTTTCTGCAACCTCTGATTTTCTGTATCCAAGCCTTGATAACTTACTTCTAAACGTTCTGTCTTTTTAAAGGATGTTTTCATAAGCTCCAGGCTCTTCTGTAGCTGTCCTTTCTCACTTTCCAGTTCTTTATTTTCTAATTCTAACTGAGCCATCTTGATATTGTTACTCTTCAAAGATTCAACAGTTCTTCTGAGTTCTAAATTTTCTTCGTCAAGTTGTGCGTTCTCTTTCTCTAAAGACTCTAACTGAAAGCTGAGATTTTTCAGACTATCTAAAGCCTTTTTCAGCTTTCTGTTTTCAACATCTAGACTGGAATTCTCTTGTTCTAAAGAATCAATTTTTTCACATGTAATTTTTAAATTAGTAATCCTTTTCTGTAATAGTTCATTTTCTTTTTCAAGATGATGAACTTCTTTCTCCAACTCATCCATTCTTTCTCCCCTTTCTTTATAATGTTCCAACTCTTTTTTCATTTGCTTCTTTTCAAATTCTATTTTACTCAATTTGCTGCTTGTCTCCTTGATAGATTCATGGAGAATTTTATTTTCCTTCTCAATATCTTTTACTCTTGCTTCAGCACTGATTTGTGAACGCTGTCGAAGTGAAGTGATAGTTTGATTCAAGTGTTCAATTTCCTGTTCCAGGATTTTAATCTAATTCATTGAAATGAAAAATGCAAGTTTAAATCAGGTATGGGTATTTTGTAGTTAGATAATATAAATGGCTTCTAAGAGTTAAGATTTAAAAGAATGCATTTTACAGTCTAAATTATAAAACTAAGTTTTGACCTGCAGTGAGGCAGTTAACATTATTTTATCAACCTATATGTACTTCAATCCAAACATTTCATATTCAAATTAGTAGAGGACAGGCATTTTGAGAAGCTAGTAGAGTTCTTCCTTAAGCACTATATCAATTTAATCAATAGGAAGATTTCTCTTTGATAAAGAATGGGTGTCAGAGAGCTAAAACCCTGGAAGAAGGACTTTTTTGGTCAAAAATTATAATGGTTTTGCTTACTCTTTAACTCTTTATACTTTAGCAAAAGAAAAAAGAAAAGAAAACATCTGGACAAAGACATTAGGCAAATAGAGCTAATTATATTGTCAACTCAAATCATTTCTTGAGTGAATCAAGAAAAAAGACTTGAACTATTCTGTTTGAAGAAAAACCCAACAGTCACACATTCTAGGGATAATGAGCAAATTTTCTGGACAAATTGCCTCCCACTTGAATCATTTGTTTCTTCAAAGAATATACATGTATTCTAGTTAATCAGATGTGAAAGGGAAGGGCTGCTTGCTCACTGAAAGGCTAATCATTAATGCATATGGTTTCTGCCTCCTGCCTTCTTGTATATTGTGTGGAAAAAGGTAGTTCTCAGAAAATTGACAATTTGAGATTTAAACACAAAGACATATAAATAATAAAAAGAAATTAAAACTATTCATATAAAAACCACAGTAGGAAAACTAGATCAACATTAACTTATTTTATATAATATTCTTAAATATGAGAAATATTGCTGATAGAAATATTTTCATTCCAGCAGAATTTTTTTTCTGAAGTACAAAGACCAGTGAAATCTCTGCTGATTTCTTGAAACTATAATAGCATACAAGACTGCAGTGCAACAGATAGTGGTATCTATAATCCAAAACTCTCTCAAATTATTTTAAAGATTTAATTTAATCTCAAGAAAGAATTCCAATCATTCATGACATTTCGGAATGAGTTTGCCACAATCTTGGAAGATTTTGCAATATTGTAAGGTTTACGACACAATATTTGTTTTTGTTCTTAAATTCTGAAAATATAAAATATTGTTGATTGCTGATATTATACAGAAAAGAAATTGTACAAAAATCATTCTCTTCAATTTATGACAGTTTCTGTTAGATTAAGAATATTTTATTAAAACACCAGAGAATATAATCATTATTATTTAAATATACAAACCTCAATAAAACAAATATCTGTGTATATTACCTGTCTCTCTGAATTTTCTCTCAAAGTTTCAATCGTTTTTTCAAGCTGTGCTTTCTCTTTCATGAGATCTTTGCAAAGATTCTGACTACTCTGATGACTCTGTTTCTCTTCAGTAAATTCGTTCCTAAGTCCTTCAAGCTATAGGGAAATTCACCAAATTTAAATTTTGATTTAATAAAAAAATCAGGTCTATATGCTTTTTGAAGGAACAGATTAAATAATATTTTCCTATATCAAAAGTCTATCAGGAATGAAATTTTAATAAAAGAAAAAGTGCATCTAAGATGTTATGCCATAGGTTATTTCTTCATTAGGAAAGGTTCCTAAAGGAGCCTTTCAACAGAAACTGCCAAATGTTTCAATATACAATACCTTAGAAAATATAAAAACATAAAGGGTTGCTTTACATAAAATATTTTGTATTTTTATTATCACATGTTAACATTTTATATGGGAAGAAACCAAAACATGCTCATATATGTTTTTCTGCTTAAAAATTATACTTCTTTCCATGGGATATAGCAAAAACATTAGATTAAAAAGAGAACTTTAAAGAGAGAGATTAGGATAACAGGACCAGGGATAAAATGCCCATGAGGATTAAAAATTAACTGGAGCTCTATTTATCCATATCTCAATTTTAATTTCCCTCTCATTCACCTTGCAGTCTTCTTTGTATTCAGTCCTTATAATCATCTATCACAACAAATATTCACCAATTTTGTTGCTTACCTTTACTTTGCTAACATTCATTCACCTTCCCACCCTATGTGTTCTCTTCCTTCTCTTCTCTATTTTCTCTCCAAAATTATATATTAACGAAAAGTCCTAATGAATTCCACTTACAAAAAAATCTATACTAAAATCCCCCCTCCAAATGAAATATTATTCCACTAGCACAGCCGGTAAAATTGATAGTATTGTTATATACAAGAGGATAAACAGAAATGGGCAGATGCAATTACATTTATGGCAGCAGCACTGTTCTTTTGATATATTGACAAAAGCTAAATTTATAGAATATCATTAGTATATAACATCTTTCTAACAGAATCATAAAATAACTGATACCTTTTTATTTAGCCTTTGATTTTCTTTTTCCATTTTCATTAGTTTTGAGTTATTGCCTTCTACGGAACCCATTGCATTTTGTAATTCTTCTACTGTTTTTAATAAAGTTTGGTTTTCCATTTCTAGTTTTAATAATCTACTTGATGTTAGTTCATTCACTTCATGACCAAGTGACTTCTGTGGCACTGTTGAGTTAAAATGGAAGATAAAAAGGATAAATTACCCCTTTGTTATCTAAACCATTACTTATATATAATTAGAAAAGGTCAGCGTAGTATAAAGCAAGGGTCTCCAACCTGTGGTCTGCAGCCCACTACCGGGCCGTGGCCTCCTGGCCACGAAACAGGCTGGCCAGTGCGTGCACATGTGTGTTTGCACTTACCCCCACTTGTGGCAGTGGCGCTATGCAAACGGGGCACCGTGCGGTGAATGCAGGGCAGTGCTAGCGCCCATGCGGCAAAAATGGGTGGTGCTAGTAAGTGTCATGTAGGTGTTAGCACCACCCCGTTTGCGTCGCACATGTTCGCAGCCCCATTTGTGTGTGTTTGTCCTCGTACGCAAAATGCTTCCCCCTCCCTTTCCCTCCGGTCTGCCAACTGAGAAAGAAGAAAAGCTTCAGCTATTGTTTTCTTTTTTCAAAAATGAATATCAATACCAAGCCTAAATTAATTTCTGATTTTTTTGGATAAGGCACTACTTCCACTTAATCAACCCTGCATAAATTATTTTCAAAAATAACTTTATAACCTAAACAAGATCAATAATGTATAACTGGAGGCTTCATTTAATTTGCTGTGAGATTGGCTGCAATCCACTTTCTTGAGTGAATTCCGCATTTGAAAAAATGTTTAGAGGCATTTGTTCAAGATGAGGAAATATAAAAATTAAAAATAAAAAAATAAAATTAATAAAATTAAATTAAATTAAAAATGCTAATAATAAGCAAAACTAGCAAGCAGCAAGTATTCCTCTGAATGAACCAATCTGGATATTACTATTTTCAAATAGCTATGTATTTGGACCCCCTCAAAGAAAATTGACAAATATTTGAACCAGTTTTTAAAGAATCTGAATATTACTTATTTACTATCTGAACAACAAATAAGTATAACTTTGTCTACCTTCAGAAATTTCTGATGATCTGTTTATCTGTTCAAGTTCCCAGCCCAAATGTAATGATTCATCCATACTTTGCTTCTGAGCCATTTCTAGTGACATATTTTCCTCCATAAGTTCCTCAATTTTCTTCCGATCCATATCACGTTCCTTAAAGTTTCATATAAACATTCTTTAAAACCTCCTCTCCAAAGGAACCACATATATTTCAGTAACCAAATTTTAGCCTAATACTGTTTGAATCTTCTACTTTATTAGTGAAACTACAATAAGTTATCAGCAGCACAAAAACATCATAATTAAATCTAATGCATACATACAATGTTTATAAAATATAAGGAATTATAACATTAGAAAAATGTCATAAATATTTTAAAACTAAAGATTACAAAACTATTTAAATGGTTTTAAATATTTAGTATTTATAAAATGTTACATAATTCAATCAATAAGGGCATTGTTGTATTACCAATTCAATAGATGGAAAAAAATCATAATCCGAAGTTCATGTCAGCTTTAGCCACTTATAATATACAGGTAGTCCACAACTTACAACATTCTTTTAGGGACAGTTCAAAGTTACAATGACACACAAAAAGTTAACTTTTGACTGTTTTTCACTTACAACCATTGCAGCATCCCTGAGGTCACTTGATCAAAATTCAGATGCTTGGCACAAATGGCAATGTGTTTATGACGGCTGCAATATACCAGAGTCATGTGATCAACCTTTGCAATCTTTTGACAAGCAAAGTTAATGGGGAAGCCAGATTCGCTTAACAACGGTATATAAGCGGTATATAAGTCCCATAAATAAATAAATAAACCATGTTGCTATCTTAACAACTGCAGTGTTTCACTTAACAACTATGACAAGAAAGGTTGTAAAAGGGGCAAAATTCACAAGTGTCTTGCTTAGCCACAGAAATTTTGGACTCAATTGTGGTTGTAAGACGAGAACTACCTGTACAACAGTAAAAAGGCAGTTTTTAAACTTTCTATTTGCTATTTGAAAAGAAAAATTATTTTGAAAGAAGCCATAAAATTTTTTAACATCAATTCTTCTTTCAGTCTTCAAGTCATTAAATGCTATTTTATTTATTTCTTTTCTGCAGGCAGTCCTTGGGTTCTCAGAGCAATTGGACCAAACGTCCATCACTGAATGATGCAGTAATAAAGTGTGACATCACATGACTACATCGCCTAGCAACTGCAATCCAATAGTCCCAATTGCCATTGTAGCCCCAGGACTGTGTAGCATCAGTTCTTCAGCAGGAAGAGGCGGGAGTCCCAAGTAAGTCCCAATAGATAAGAGTTGCAGTTGAGAATATGGTAGTGCAGTGCAGTGGGCATATTTTGGAAGCTGCAATGGCACTGAACAAGGGGGACCTATGACAAATCCTTATAATTGTGGCTGTTGCAGCATTCCTGCAGTCATGTGATTGCCATTCAGGTGGTTGGCAACTGGGTCACAATTACAACATCACAGAATACTGTGTTCATGTGATCACAATTTGCAACTTTCACTGCTGGCTTCCAACAAGCAAAGTCAATGGGGAAGCCAGCAGGAAGTTACAAATAGTGATCAGAGGACCATGGAACACTGCAACTGCACAAGAATTGTCTAACAATAACAATTCAAACTATGGAAATTGCTGTCATAAGTTGATACAGGTACTGATTCCATTGCTTAGTAACGGAGTTCCCAGTCCCAGTTACTATTGGCAACTGAGGACTACCTGTAATTTTCTTCTAAAAAATGACTTTCAATGTCCCATCCTGTATGCTCACCATCTCCATATCGTGGAGTTTAGCTTTTAATTGCAGATTCTCCTTTTCCAATTCATGCAATTTATCAGAACGGGCTCGGGTTCCCTCTAACTGATCTTCCAACATTGTCTTTGTTTCCAGTAATACTTGATTATCTTCTTTTAGCTCCTACAGTAATCAGTGAGAAATATGAAACTGACAATTAAATAAGAAACAAAGTAGTAGGTAAAAAAGTTAAAATGGCACACACCAAACAAAATGTAAAAACACTTGTTATATTTTACATTAAATTAATGTAACTAATCAATTATGTAATCATCTTTGTTGCTCTTCTCTACACTCTTTCTAGAGTCTCAACATCTTTTTTACATCATGGCGACCAAAACTGGATGCAGTATTCCAAGAGTGGTTTTACCAAGGCATTATAAAATGGTATCTCGACTGTATCCCTCTGTTAATGCAATCTAAAACTGTATTGGCTTTTTTGGCAACTACAGCACACTGCTGGCTCATATTTAAATGATTGTCCACTAGGACTCCAAGGTCCCTTTCACAATTACTACTATTGAGCCAGGTACCATCTATACCTGTGCATTTGATTTTTCTTGCCTAAATATAGAACCTTACTTTTTTCATCATTGAATTTCATTTTGTTAGATAGCACCCAATGTTCAGGTTTGTCAAGATCCTTATGTATCTTAAGCCTATCTTCTGGAGTGTTGGCTATTCCTGCCAGGTTAGTGTTATCTGCAAATTTGATGAGTTCCTTATCTATCCCTTCATCCAAATCATTAATGAAGATGTTGAAGAGTAGTGGGCCTAAAACAGAGCTTTGGAGTACCCCACTGCATATTTCCATCTATGTAGAAGCAGTTCCATTGAGGACTACTACTAATAGGAGAATGCAAATATTTTTAGACCTGTAACATAAAACAAGATCAGCACAAACATAGAATTCTAATCAAATAATACCTTGGTACATGTAAATATAATCAGTAAAAAATGAACATACATTTAACAAAAAATGTAATTTATAATCACCTCTATTCTAGCCTTGTAGAATTCAATATCGTGTAGCCTTTCTTTATATCGGCTGAGTTCACTTTCAAGCTTGTCAACCCGGATTGCCTTCTCTCTGAGAGCATCAAGTTCATCCCGATACACTCTGGCAGATCGGGCATCCGAAAGTAAACTCATATTCTAGCAAATAGGTCAAAAAATATTTTAGTGTTTATGAAAAAAGTGATTTTGCAGAAGGCAAGAATAATATTATCTATTAACATGAAATCACACAGACATTAGTGTGCATGTAAAAGGGGAAACCAGTAAGCAAATTAACATTAGCATTTATTCAGAATACAAACTCAATACAGTAAGTAGCACAATATATATGTGGATTCATATAAGAATTTTCTTACTAACAACAACATCATTGCATACAGGTTTGTAACCATCTTTTCTTCAAGATCATTAATATTGATATGCTGAGCATTGATTTTATTCTTATAGAATAAATTTTATAAAACACTGTTAACTAGGAACTCTATTTCCTACAGACTAAGGAAGATGGGTAGTTCTTAAATATGGCAAATAAATAAATGAAAATTCATACTTATGATGAAAAAAGATTAGTAGTTATTGAATCTAAACTTATATAATGTGGAAAATTATGTTTTCCTTAATGTATTATTTATTTAGCAATATTACCTGCTTCTTGAATTGTGCAGTTCAAATATCTAATGAGTTTGAATGTTTTCTTTTAGTGCCCAAATACATTATATTAGTTCTGATAATGAGAAAAAATAACATAGGAAATGATCTGCTTGTAGATAAAAAGTATGTACGGTATATAAAATAATGTCAGGTCATTCTTTTCTGAAATTCTTCCAAAGGTATAAATAAAAGTTAATGGAAGCTGCATTCAATACATGCCTCCTTTCCTGAATGAAAACTGATTTGCCAAGTTTTAAAAACAGTATACGAAAGATTTCTAAAAAAACAAAAACCAGAAAACAACAAATGCACTGGTCAATCCCAGTGATGTTATGATTTTAAGTTTAAGATCCTATGGCCATTATTTAGTTGAAATCTTTTTAATTAAGATCCATTGTTTGAAACATGTATCAATAGAACACAAGCAACAACACTTCATTTCAACAAAACAGTCTAACCCATGATCTTGTATTCACAAACCTCTTGCTGAAGTCGCTTTAATTCAGTTTCATTCTGTTCAAGTTCTTGCTTACAATCCATCAATTGTTCAGTCTTTTCCTCACTAAAAACAAAAACAGAAATGTTTTATTTATAAATATATAAAAGTGTAATTTTTCATTCCAGTTAATAATCGAACCAAGAAAACTTCACCAGAAAGTCATAATAAGTTCATTAAAATGGTAAAAATAAAGCAGTGATCAAGAATGGGTTGAAATATTGCTAAATTCCTTCCCTCTAGTGGTTTTTGCTCTCCTCATTTCCTCCTGTTACATCCAAGTAATTTAGGTCTGAAAAAGAGCTTAAGAACAAATACGTAAGACAAAGAAAGCATATCAACTTCTCCAAATCTCTGTTCCTGATTATTGCTTTCTCCCAGAGCTGCTTTTTAAATGTTTTTACTTGTTTATTTTAAATAATAATGAAACTTATGTACTTGTTCATTAACAATAGTTGAATCCCCAATTAATACCACAGGTTGAGAAGATTTACATACATTATTCACATACTTCAGTATTCACTAACAATAGCTCTTCAGTCTATCCTCCCTGCAGATGTACAGCTCAAATGGGTCAATTTTCTTCCTTGGAAAGACCAGTTACAGAGAACTTTATTATAGATTCTGGCTTTAATTAATTTGAGGAATACAGAAGTATTAATTTTTGAGTCCTTCAAAAGCAATATTTTCTCCATATTAAGACATTCTCCTTCCCTTTCCAATTATACAATAATAGTTAATATTAGCTTACAAATCTGGCAATTTAGTATTATTGTTGGATCCAGTTTCACATTAATAATGTGAATTTAATAAAAAATAATTAAATATTCAACAAGGACTGTGCAAAATTAATGTGGGGATGGATTGCTCTGGAGAACCTTGGGACATTTCATTTCTCTTTAGACTATTCTCAACTTCCTCCTCTTCTATGCTATTCTGGGATTTGGCAGTTTCCAGAAAAGCAAGACTTCTGGCCTGGAAGTACTTTGATAATGGACAACTTTTGCATATTCCTAATTCTACAATTCAATACCAGAAAGCTCACATATTTTAAAATGATTATAGCATACAAGATTTAAAATAATATATCCATAGTTCCAATGTCATGGTTCCCACAGATGAAACCCTTCAAAAGAACTTCGAGGCATTGTTTTCCTTAAAGAATCTTTTATTCGGGAAACAAAATATCAACACTACATAGTTGAACCCAAAAACTAAATTCCCCTCCTCTGGATACAAAGTAACAAAGTACAATTCCCACTTCCAATAACAGTCATAAAGCACATTCCCCAATTAGCTTGAAGCGCAGGCTTTCTCCTCAGCTCTCCAGCCCGCCAAAATGTTATGAGCTCTGGACCCAGTTTGTCCTTGGATTCCCACGGCAGAGTTATTATTATTATGACTCACTGAACTCTCATTCCAATCCCCCCTCCCAGCACCAACTAATTCTAAAAGAATAGAGAAAATGGCTGCATTTTCATCTGTTGTCAAAGCAGGAACATCCGATGTTAGCAGCATTGACATCCGCCCCCCCCTTACAAAAAGGACAAATCCTTTAATGCAAACAAAATCATATGTTAGGGGTTGCCTCTTAGTTTGTTAGGGTGTTTCTTATAGAACTTATCAATGAGTCTATCAGCTTTTACATCGCTAGCTTTTACCCAGGTGGCTTCAGACAACGGATACCCATTCTATTACACTAAGTACTGTAGTTTCCCCTTAAAAAGTCTAGAATCAAGAATACGCCTCACTTCATAGTGAATCTATCCTGCTACTACAAGAGGTCCAGGTGCCTTCTTGGGGGGGAGGTCATAAGGTGGAATCCCAAAAAAGGTTTCAGCAGGCTACAATGGAACACAGGGTGAACTTTCCCTAAGAGTCTGGGAAGCTTTAATTCTACCATGCCTGGGTTAATAATCCTTATGATGGGGAAGGGTCCTAACTTCTTACTAGATAACTTAAGCCGTAAATAATTTGTAGACAAATAAACCTTTCTGCCACTTAGAATGACTTTTGAGGAGCTCTCTTTTTATCTGCTTGATTTTTATATGTCTCAGAAGACTTTTTCAAAACAATTTTTGTGGTTCTCCAGACTTCTTCCCACCCCCTCACCCACTGATCAAGAGTTTGAGAAGTGGAGGGTCCCTGAAGATATTCAGGTATTGGGCTGAATTCTCTTCCTATGGCCACTTTAAAAGGTGTCAAATCGGTGCTGCTGTGAACAGAGTTATTGTAAGCCACCTCTGCAAAAGGAGGAGGTCAGTCCAGTTCGTCTGCTGATAATCCACATAGCATCTGAGATACTGCTCCACTATTTAATTAGCAGATTCAGCCGCCCCACTGGTAGGCAGGTGAAAAACCTATGACAGTCCTTGAGATGAGCCAATTAGCTTAAGAAAACCCTTCCAAAACATGGCTGTAAACTGTACCCTTGGTCTGAGATTATACGTTTTGGTGCGCCATGAAGTCTGTAGATCAGTGGTTCTCAACATTTGTGTGACGGCGACCCCTATCACACAAACATGCTGCGCATGCGCGGCGTAACACGCATGCGCGGCGGCGGCCCCATGCGCAGTGCACATGCACGGCGACGCCCCCATGCGCGGCACACATGTGCGGTGGCGCCCTGAGGGGGGAAAATGGCGGATCGCCTTGTTTGGCGACCCCCGAGAAATGGTCGATCGACCCCAAATGGGGTCGCGACCCATAGGTTGAGAACCGCTGCTGTAGATGTTTTAGAAACAACGTGGTTAGTCGCTGGGCAGACAGGAGCTCTTTGCAGGCAATGAAGTGAGCCTGCTTTGAAAATGGATCTATCACAGTCCAGATAACTGTATTTCCCCTGCTTTCAAGTAGATCGACTATAAAATCCATAGCAATTTCTTCCCATGGTTGGGAGGGGTCTGCCACCCAGGGGGTTTCCCTGGGGTTCTTTTCATGGTGGCACATACAGCACAACTCTTGACATAGTTCTCTACATCCCGTTTCAATCCCTGCTACCAAAATTGCCAGTGAATTAGGCGTACTGTTTTTAGATATCCAAAATGCCCAGCCTGGTTTTACATCATGGCCATGCCAGAATGCGTTAAGGGGGAGGGTTTCAGGCAAGTACAACTTTCCCCCCTTTGTAAACCAACCCAACGCTGCATGTTTGATTGTCTTTGAACCATTAGTCGGTGAGCACCTCTTGTTTTATTTTCTTTGCCCCAGGGTCGTCGGGGTTTGGGGCTTTCGAAGGTGGGACTCTGCGTGTTGAAAAGCAGTTTGTGGAGTAGATATAATTGCTTCATTAACCTCTTCACGCTGGCTCTTGTACTGGGGCAGTCTAGATAAAGCATCAGTTAAAAGGTCCCCCCCGTATGGTGAAGTTAAATCGGTTAAAGTATTGCGCCCATCGTACTTGTTTTGGGGACAATTTGCAGGAGTTTTCAGTGCTTCTAGGTTTTTTTGATCAGTCCATACCTCGAAAGGCACCTTGCTCCCTTCTAGATAGTGTTGCCAGTTTAATAGAGCCCAGAAAATTGTGAAGGCTTCCTTTTCCCACACAGCCTATCTCCTCTCGCAATCAGTGAATTTTTTCGAGGTGTAGGCACAAGGTTTTAGGACCCCATCCTGGTTCTTTTGCAATAGCACAGCTCCAACAGCCACGTCGCTGGCATCGGCTTGAATCACGAAGGGTTTCCCTGGACAAGGGTGCTTCAAGACTGGCTCGACCGCAAATAGCCTTTTCAAATTCTCAAAAGCAGTTTGACAGTTCATAGTCCATGCTGGTGGCTGGCCTGGTCGCGGCTTCCCTCCCCCTTTTATCCTCACTCAGTAATATGCCTCTTTCAGGGCCAATTTAGTGAAGACACTCCCTTTTGCCAGGTGGGTTAGTAAGTCCTTTAGGAGGGGGAGGGGGTATTTGTTTTCCACGCTCACAGCATTTAACCCTTTATAATCTATGCAGAGATGAAGCAACCTGTCTTTTTTTTTCTTTAAATAACAGCAGAGCTCCCACCTGAGATTTGGCTTGATCAATAAATCCTCTCGCTAGGTTCTTGTTCACATACTGCTGCATTTCCTCCCTCTCAAGGGGAGTCATGGCGTACATCCTCGGTCATGGGAGTTTAGCTCCCGGTAACACTTCAATAGAGCAATAATTAGGCTGGTGGGGAGGCAGGGTGTCACATTCTTTCTCACTAAACACATCCGCTATGTCCCGGTACTTGCTGAGGATGAGTGGCTCATCTGGTTGAAACAGAACAGCTATCTTTGCTAGCTCGTTAGATGGGTTAAACTCTCCGTTAACGCCAGTCGAGTTAAGGGGGGGAGGTTGGGTTCTATGGATAACCTCACAGTTCTCATTCCTTTCTCCCACCAGATAAACGGCTTCCATTTGTCTAACCAGCTAGCCCCAGGATCACGGCCTCAGTCATTTTTAGAGCCACCATGAAACAAATGAACTCCCAGTGTTCACCTATTTCTAAGCATGTGGGTTAATTGCGTGACTAAAGTTCCTCCCATTAGGGAGCCATCGGCTTGCTCAAACCTCACTGGTTTGGAGAGCAGCCTTGCTTGTATGCCCATTTTCAGGGCAAATGACAAGCTAATAATGCACCAGGAGCATCCTGAGTATACTAGTACTTTCAGATCTACCTGTGCCCCCGTCTTAGGGATTATGAGCTTGGCTGACAGAGAAAAAGATAGAACGGGTCGACTCACCATTGGTTTGTTTTCTCCTTCATTGTCACTGTCGTAGGAGGGCAGAGCAGTGGCAGGTCCAGTTTGGGCCTCGGCACTCTCCTGCGTGGGTGACGTGACTTGGACAATGGGTTCCTGCGCGATCCAGTTGGATTTCTCTTTTGCCGGCTGCTGGGCTGGTTTCTTCTCGCCGGTGGTCCCGGTCTATACTGCTGTTGAGGGTAAGGGACTGGGCAACTCGCTGCTTGATGTCCCTGTTGTCTACATCTGAAGCATTTGATCGATGGGCCTGCAGGTGGCTTGGGTTTTCCGTGGCCGTGGTGGTTGGAGACTTTCGGGGAGGGTGGCTGTCGTCTGGGTTGATCTGGCCTCAGCTCAGCTTC